AAGTTTAATTTTATAGCTAATTTGTTTGTTTAATTTATTTTAATAATATAAAATTAAAGAAAAATGATGGAGGATATATAAACTGTTATCAAATATTTATTATTATAATCATTAAGTGTCATATATATATATTAGTCATTTATGGTAATTCCGTAGGTTTTATTTATGGAAAGAAAATAAAATAGTAATTATATATAGGAGAACAATCATTAAGTGTCATATATATATATTAGTCATTTATGGTAATTCCATAGGTTTTATTTATGGAAAGAAAATAAAATAGTAATTATATCTAGGAAAACAATCATAAATACTTCTATCATAAATATCATATCATATCATCATATCATATAATTTGACCAATGAATGTATCTAACGACATATAAAAATCGAATGTGAACATACTTATTTTTCAATTGAATGTAATTGAATACCTAATTGAGTGACACCTAAGCATGGGGTCTTTTTTTAATTATTACAAAATTGAGGTTACAATTTTTTAAATGTTTCTCCTTTAATATATAAGTGATATTTACGATTTGCATATATCAATTTTAACATAAATTCCCAAGTTAACAGATTAAGTTTTACATTTTACATATACACTTTCCTTTACCATTAAGTATGTACTTGGTCACAAAGTAATTTCCATTTTACATATACACTTCCATAAATTAAAAGGAATGAAGTTATTATAGTTAATATATGCAAATCGTTATCAAATCGTATATTTTCCTTTTCTTTCATTACATGCGTGCGATATATATAAATTTATAAACTATGTTACATGCGTTATATGCGTCTCTAATTATTTTTCCCTAGCAAATTTCAGTTGAACCTAAAGCTGCCACGTCAGTTTAATTGGTATGCTAATTGATTGACAACTAAGCAAGGTTACTTTTTAATTAATACAAACTTGAGGTTACATCTTTTCAAATGTTTCTCAATTAATATATAGGGGATTATATAATAAAAACAAATTTATGTTAATAAAATTATATTTTTAGAAAATATGTTAATTCTTATGTATTAGATTGTTATCTTAAAAATATATTTTTCAATTATTATTTTAGAAGTAAATTTGCTTAGTTGTCAACTTCTCCATGATTTTAGGTTCTTTTTCTTATTTTCATGTTTTACTAATATTATATTTTTAGAAAATATGTTAATTCTTTTGTATTAGATTTTTATCTTCAAATATATTTTCAATTATAAAATGTAAGTGAATTTTCTGATTAATTTGTAACTTTCACGTTGAAAGTTAGAGCGGTTAATATCGTTTATATCCTTAATGAATAATTAAAATTTTTAATATAATTAAACATAAATAAAAAAAGAATTTCAATGATTTTAGATTTATCTTTATCTAAAACTATTTTATATTGGGTTATAAAGTCTTTATTAATCTTGAAAAATAATTATATTAGTTAATATATAATTAATTCTAAATTAATAACGAATTTCATTTATTTGATAATTATCCGAATTTAATTTTTTTATATTATGTGATAAAGTCTTTATCAACCTTGAAAATAATTATATTTGCTAACATATAATTAATTCTAAATTAAAAATGAATCTCATGAATTTGATAATTATCTTTATCTAACTTTTTTATATTGTGTTATAAAGTCTTTATTAACGTTGAAAAATAATTATATTTGTTAATATATAGTTAACTATGAAAAATCAATTCGCAAAAAAATTATGTATAGATAATTTATATTGTGTTATCCAAAACATTATTAAAGATAATTTTTTATACTTTTTTGTTATGTCTAAAAATGATATTAATTTATTACTAAATGTTTTAAGTTCATGAGTATTTTCAAATATAAGTTGTGTAATGAAAATTATTTATATGATGATGAAAAATTTTATATATAGAAAGAATTTGTTTAGTTTATTATTAAACATTTTGAGTCTATGAACTATAATTTATTATAATTTATATAAATTGATTATATATTTATTTATAGATATTAGTAAAATTATTAAGCCCGCAAGTGCGGACAAAACACCTAGTATATTTTATTTTAGGAAAGAAAATATACTACCATCCGTTTACAAAAAGAAATGAGTATATATATATACGCAGGCCCATCTCATGTTTTGTATGGGCCCTGTGCACAAACTATTTATCCTAAACCAAAAACTAATTTTTTTGTTAAAAAAGGCCCTATTTTTTTCTTGGAAAATGCCCCTATCCTAGCTAAAAGTTTGCAAATTTTTTTTGGACCCAGTGCATATGCACTCTTAGCACATGCTAAGAACCGGGCATGTATATACGACCATGCCGATACCTACGTGCATCGGTTTTTTTTTTTTTTGAAACGCTATGTTTTGTTGAGATCTCATAATTAAGTATTTTCAAGAATCACCATTAATCTTTTTAATTGTCAAGATGGTAAATAAGTTATACCTTTCAGTAAAGGCAAAGATCAAACTTGTCAAAAATAAAAGAAAGTTCAAACTTCATGTCTCTTGGGCAAAACTTTAGTGGACAATATAGACTTGCATGAGAACGTTGTGGTGTTTTACTGCTAGTAAGAAGATGGTGCATGTTTCTTCTGTATATATTTTTGATACTTAATGTTTGAGACAATGTAGTTCTTAAAATTAGGATCACACACAATACAGAGTCTAGATCTAAACAAAAGCATTTTAAGACTAGTGCGAAAGCTTACTAATCCAACAAGTGTAAAAGCTAGCATATTATTCAAAAGTCTTTAACGAACGTTTCGAATTCAAAACCACGAGTTAAACTGAATTCGTTAAACATAATCTAGTTTGCTCCAAAACATTATAAAAGAAATCACTCTAACAAAATAAAAGCAAAACAAAAAGAAACTTTTAGCAAAATCTCTACTTCCAACAAAGAAGTTTGTTAATGAAAACAACAAAACCCAAATCAACCGAAGCTTCATAAAGAACCAAGCAAGAAGCTGAATGTAATGAGATTAAACTAGTCGCTCTGCTTCTTCTCAGGAACCGATACCAAGCTGGGAATAAAGGAACAATGCGAAGGCCACAAATCAACAACAAGATCTATTTTGGTTTTACTGATCAACTTATTGTTCTCCACAACATAGATCCAAGCTCGACCATCTTTGTCGCAAGAACACACTACAAGCTTTTTGTCATTGATGAAGTAACTTGGCGCTGTCAAATCCGGAAAGTTAGGAACTGACACTTCCATGAAATTCATCCATTTTACATCTCTACCACCCAGTTTATGAATCTTGTTCTTGGTCACCCAAATCTGAATCTTCTTTGTTAGATGGGCTTGCTTTAACAACGAAAACCGATCTCCCGTAAATACCCTAAGAACAATAGCATCATTATCCTTGTTATCCTCACATGGTAGATCACAAAACTGGTTGAATGTTTCCTTGGTAAAATCGAAGTTAACTATGAAGAATAAGTACTTGGTGTTGTCATTAGAAGCAACACGATACCAAGTTCCATTCAAAGACACACCACTGGTACGGTGAATAATAACATGTTTACTTTCCTCGGTAGTACTACTAGTAATACCACTAGACTTCATCAAATTACTTTGGTCCTTCCATGTATTGGAGGAAAAATCAAGGGTTTTCCAAAATGTCTTTGTAGGATCTGTTTCTGTCCGATGAGAGGCAAGGGTCTTGTAACCATTATCATCATCATAACCTATGCCCTTGAACTGAAAATTACGGTGGTTACCCTCGTGCTCGACCCATATAGTCTGTCTTAACCATGGGTTCCAAACCATGCCTTTTTTACCCATGTCACATAGCAAAAGCCCATTGCAATCGATCAAGAGTATAGGTAACTGAGACTCTAAAGCAGGAATATCTAACGTCAAGTCACGCACCTCGATCTTTGGATTTATGCTTACCGAATAAATCTTGGATTTGGTTGCTAAGATGAATAGATAAGTCATCTTGGTCTGGTGTTTTTTGATGAACCTCTTGTCGTTTAAAAGAGCGTTCCATTGTTTGCAGACGGTTTTGAATCGGACAAGAGATTCAGGAGGGACACAAGAGAGGATCTCTTCGATCAAATCCCATGGAAGCTTCTCCTGGTTAGCCATTAGGGTCTTTTTTTTCTTTCATATTAACTATACTTTGCTTATTAAGTTTTTCCATCTAGGGCTTCAACTGTTTATTCCGTCAAAAATTCAGTAGAAGATTTACAAAACACTAAATTGTTTACAGATATACTTTAGGAAAATTAGTAAATCTGACAATTAAGCAATGTACATGTATGTTTTTAAAATTTAAGAAATATAGTAAATGATATATCATGACTTTTATGAGTTCTTAACGATAATATAAGTCATGTTTTAGAATAATGATATGATTTCTAATTGTTTTAGAGTCATTATTGCATATTCTTGTTTTATGAAAAATATTTTCTTGTTTTCTTTTTCATCAAATCCGGAGTTTGCAAAACAGTATTAACGTTTTAGATCCCCATATTCTCTCTACGTTCGTGCTTATCATGTGTTTTATTTTATTTTTCATATTTATTTCAATAAGGAAAATATACGACCATCCGTTTACAAAAAAGTGTATTATAGACAAACGTGCCGAGACCTACGTGCATTGCTTTCCACCTTTGCGTGATCTTTTCTATAGAAATAAGATAATAGGTTCATGAATCATGAGAAATGAAAAGAGGATCATACTCACACAAATTTGTATTTTATTAAGCATAAACTAGAAATCCGATCTAGTATATGTAAGGTTTCTCCTTTCTTCGTTCTCTTTTTTAAATCATGTTGATCGGGAGATAAACACAATGCTTAAAAGAGAAGAATGTTGAGAAAGAAGCAATTGTAATCTTACTTGTGTTAAGATCTATAAAGAGATAATGATGATGTGTTTGGGAAATATCTACTTGTGAGATTACTTATAAGATTAAGATTCTTTCTTAAGCTTACTCCAACAGTATCTCCAACATGTGTTGGGTTCCATGGAGAACCATACCTCTCAGGAGATGCTGACTGAGACTGCACAAGACAAAACTGGTTAGGAGTATAGTATAAGGAAGTAAATACCGAAGGATCTGGAGCTAGTATAGGAGGAGTTTGAGATCTTGTTTTTTTTTCCAATTAACTCCGTTGAAGAAAGGATGTCTCTTGAGAGAAGGATGACCTTCTATTCCAGCTCCTAGTCTTCTACTAGGATCTGTATCCTGAGAGAGTACCAAATTTCAAGACTTGTTGTGTTTCCTAGTGAGCAAATGACGAAGGTAAAATGAGCATATGTTTGTTACCAGCAACCAATCGATGAGGTCTCTTGCTGCTTCTGAGAAATGATTTGGGAACTTTAGATCTCTCGCTATAATTCTTTGGAAAATCAACCATTCACTTGCATCTCTAGAGTTCAGAGAAGGAGGCGATGATGAAGATCAACACACCACGGTGGAGCTTTTGAGTTAGAAAAAGCTACCAGGCACTGAGAGCTCCCACTTGGAGGGTTTTGAAAATTTTAGGATTTTACAAGAAAAGTATTATAGCAAAAATGATTACAAAAAATTTACAACGAAAGAAGAGATAATTTAAGTGGGTCTGGGGTACTTACAATTGGGCCTGAGCTGAAACTTAAATAAAACTATCAAAACCCATGGGCTAGTTATTTACATATATAGACACATAAATCTGAAAGTTGTTATTTTTTTATGTAAGTTAAGTAGACAGTGATGGTGTTTAAAAAAAAAACAAAAGTAGACAGTGATTACTCTTGTGTTTCAAAAAAATGACAGTGATTACTCTTCTACAGTGTTAGAGATGTGCATGATTGCATATTCGCTGAAGCTACATAAGCCAATTCAAGGTGGGTTACTTGAATGTGTTGCCTCACTCTTCCACTACTAGACTTTTTGTATGTTTGCTGATAATGATATGTGGAATTCGATCAATCAAAATTAAGATATTAGCGTATGACTTTTGTTATTCAAAGTCTTTCCTCCATATCTTTATTTGTTAAAGGATTAGTTTCAACTTTTCCATGTTATATATAACAAGCCATCATTACAAAGTAAAACAAAGGGACTTATAGATTGATGTATTAATTTTGGCTTATGACAGTTCATCATGTTAGCTAAACTCTATTGCTTATGACAGTTCATCTAAAACAAACTCTGTGCCTTGTTAAATTCTCATTAACGATTTGACACATTTGCTTCGAAGTGATCCCGTAATGGAGGACCGACCTATCTAAGCCAATTGGATCTGTAGAACAGCATTGTTTATTTCTTCATTTCTTTTTTTGACTTAAGGTTTTCTTTTTTCTTTGTTTCTTTTTACTTGACGTTTTAAATTTTTTTATATATTTTTTTAAAAACATCATTAATTATATGATTAATCATATTCCAACCAACATGAAAATAAACTAACATATAAAATTCATAAATTTTATATTAAAATTTAAACGCCATCTAGTTTTAAACAAACTTTTTTAAAAGGTTATCTATTAAAAATAGAGGGATGTTTTTGGCAAACAACATTTTTATTATTAATTATTTTTATTGTTAACTAGCTCAAAAGCATTGGATTCCAATTTATTTCCTATTCTGGATTATTCTTATTTTATTCAATATAATAATGATTATTCTTTTCAGTAAGTTTTTATATTAATATAAATAGTATTCCATAAAATGAAGTGAATTGACATCCAAGCATCGTTGACGCTTCCTGATTTCCTATAGAAAGATTAAGAAAGTACCAAAACTGTTTTAGGCAATAGTAAACAAATCTTGGTCCCGCATGTGGCTGCTGGTTTGCTGGTCCGGCCAGGACTCAGGCGGCCTCTCTCGGGATGAGAAATGTAACAACTACTATCATCAGCAACCTATTGCGATAATTTTCAGTGGTTAGATAATTAATGCAGTTGATATATATCCATGTCAACTTTAATTTGTGTGATCGATACCTACGTTCATTTTATAATAGGGAGACAGTTGAGTATGAAGTTTCATAAACCATCCAAGGGAGAGCCATCATGGTCCTTAGCTTTACTTTTGGGTGTCGATTGGTATAGTCTTTGGAATCTTATGGTATTTGATAATTTATTGCTGCATAAATCTAAATATACTAGTGTATGAATGAATGAGATCATGATTTGGAGGCCATGCACGTTACGTTTCACTTGCTTTCTTTGTCAACATTGTACATTACAACATATAAAATGCTAAAACGGTGGTGAATGCTAATTATTTATGCTATTTTGATTAAAAAACAGAAATATTATGGAATCCTATGTAGATTTGATCGACTATATTGATTTGCCAGAAATAAAATAAAAAGTCATTCTTATCAGTTGGGTTTGTTTTTCTTTGTAATCTACATGTCATAGCGATTCTTATGCGTACACTCTTTGTTATCACCCTTTTGCGTAGGGCCATAATGGTTCATATCTTGAAAATATATGTGAGAATATTTCCTCCAACTCAGGATGTATGAATTTCAATATTATGAATATATTATAATATAATTTATCTTGAGAGTATATAACTTCTGACGATTAACAAAAGTATTATAAATCCAGGAGTCTTTTATATTTGTCCTCTTTGGTTCATGATATTTTCCATTTATAGGAAATATGTAACCAAATGAAACAAGATCTACTCTAAATTTAATTAAACTATGATTTCCTAGCACAAGAATCTGAGTTTTCTTATTATTAGTTTTCCATTTTTTTTTATTATAATGCATTTTTATTTTATCGGGCTGGTTCTGAGTTTAGACTTCCATCCAGATCACTTGTTTTAATTTCCCGATCCACTGTCCACTTAAAAAAAAAAACAGAATGTAATTTAGTTGAATTTTAGACGGCTTGGTTTGGGCGAATCAAACAAAAGTATAGATGGACCACCGAAACTTCAACATCGTGCGTAATTGATGTATTATAAATGCTACAGATTGTTTGATTGTGATTGTATGGTCTCATGGCCTCACATATAACATCGGCTTATCCTAATACATCTCTCTTTCCCAAGCCTCCCTTTGTGCCTCAACCAAATCAAAAACGTGACAATGTCTATAAACCAAAAAACAGAAGCTTACAATAACCAAAGGAAAAAACAATGGAGTAAAAAGAAGGGTTGACAAAAACAAAAAAGTAAATAAAAGCAAAGACAATAGATCGAGATCTCCTGCGAGGATCATTTAGATCTTTCCACTTATGTACTTTTTTATTTGGATATTACTACTGATTTACTTCTACAGATCTACTCTATATCATCACCACATGCACTCTGGTACGTGGCATGTCCAAAAATTGTCATACTTTGCCGTAAATCTACACAGCATTTGTAGTTTTATATTAATACATTATGCACATCACGCAGTGCAGCTAGTGTGTATATGTTCAGAGAGATCAAATCTAACTTCAAATACGACATAGCATAATGATGACAAAATAAGAAGTTTAAGTACCAAAATATAAGAAAGCTAAATTGATGAAAATGCAACCACTATTAGGTGTTGAATCATAATCATCTATGAAGATAAAGAGTACATAGTAGTAAACTCATGTTACAGCCTCATAATTGTTATATGGCATGTAAGGGAGTGTATTTTCATATAATTATCTCTGCGTGTAAAACGTTGTGGGTCCATCGTATATCTTGGAATCATAATGTCACATAAAAACTATACAACCTCTCACATTGTAACATTTATTTAATAAATATAAAACTACAAAACTTGATTGCAATCAGTTGTATATATATAGATAATGATGCATGAACTAGAGTTTATATCTAAAACACATGCCATGTCTTTAAGTTGTAACAGGTACAAGACATATTTAACCAAACTTTATGATTGAGATCTAAGATAAGACATTGATCTAGAATTTGTATACTTTACCTAGAGTCGTATTACTATTATTTTGATGGTTATTTTTATCAAGTAAAAGTTTCTGTATATACAGACTTTAGTGTTGCTGTTGAGACCATAACTCACTCGTCTTTAGATGGCAGACCGATGGTACAAGAACACCATTTGCGTTTGTTTCATTTGATGTGGCCCGCTAATTACTGCGGTTCCAAAATTTAAGTTTAGTTTGTCTTTTGTATATTTGCGAAAATTTTAGTTTTCCCAAATTTTCGTAAATTTTTATTGTTATTATTCCAAAATTACATTACAACTTCAGTTATAATACACTAAATTTTACCACCTCCCCCCCCCCCCCAAAAAAAAAAAAAATTAGAGATTTTTTTCAAAACAATAATTCTTGTAAGAGAAATAAATCCTATGTTTGATATATATACATCCTTTTGTCTAATCAAGTGATGAATTTTCAACAATGTATTCATATAACTTAACCTAAAAGACTTTGTCAGCTAATCATATAGATTACCACGATCTCTTTCTTTGTATTTTAATTAGCTTAATTTCACATGTAATGAAAATCATTTGGCAATATTTCATTCAACGTATAACTTACTCCACACCATAAAAAGTTTACGTTAGATAGACATAGTCTCATTCACATAATCACATCATCACATGATATATGTCTTCAGCATGAACTAAGATCTGTACATCAACAGTGTGGTTAATGCTTATACCACTTTGGGTTGGACTCACCCCACTCTCGCATTCTTTTTCATTCACGTGGATTATATTTTTGTTCGACAGTAAAAAAACAAAACTGTCGATCGGTTTAAGTACATAGACATCACCACATCACTGAAAATAACTTTTAGTTTATCATCATTTTAGGATTAATTAATTTTGGTTAGCTTGTAATTCTTTTATTGTGGTAATCATCACTGCATCAAAATGCGTTAATTCATAGAGATTTGGAGGGCATGTAAACTATTTAGGAGGTGACTGGTTAGATTTTAACGAGTAATTTTTATTTTATTTTCTATATACAATTATATAAATAACATAGTTTTTAAAGCTAAAACAAAAAAAATAATAAAAAGTGATTGTAAAAGTTTTATTTTCTAAAGAAAAAAATAATTTTGTAGAATTATTGTAGGAATAGCTTTCATTTTTTATATTTTTTTCATTTAATATTTATACCTACATTAAATACATGTACATCGAAAAATTCTATAGATATTTTCCAGTAAATTTTTACAGTTACAATGTAATATCAATCGCCCTCTTAGAGTATAATTCATCCCGATCTTTTATTTGGAGTTAATTAATTTATGATTTAATATATTTTGTTTATATTTTTTGGTTAATAGATATTTTTATATATTTTATTTAAAAAAACTAAGAAACGGTATCTTAGAAGAAGCTAAAAACCTTAATTAAAAAACAAAGTTAATCACGGCCTTAGTCCTCACTATTATTTCTTAAACTGATCCCCACGTATTAGACTGAAGCGCTCCATTAAAAACTCGTTTTATAAAAAAAAAGTTAATATTCAGAAAATTAGGTAAACTCTATCAAAACGGTGAACAACATGTGCTCCAGTTGTACATGCATACAAAAACAAGTATAGAGCAAGTAACTTACCATCATCCCTTCCCTAGTAATACTATATTTTTCTAAATTCGGAAATTACTTTCATTCTCCTTCCCATATATTTATTTACATTTCTTATCTCCATTTTTTTTTCAATCATGTCAAAAAGTAACTCTTGTTTCTAAATGCGACATTCTAACTTTTACGCGTGTGTATATATACATGTATGTAAAGACACAAACACATTTAACAAACCCCTCTCAACACACTTCTCCAACAAGCTTTCTACATCCACACAAAAAAAAAAAAGTTGTCCAAACATAAGCACACATTTACAGACATGGATGATCTTGAGTTCTTACAAGATCTATCCAAATTCAACTTCCCAGCAACCATCAAGATCCCATCTAAAACCTCTAAAGACAACAAAGATGATAACGACGAGGGCTTTAGCTGCAACACACCCACATCTCAAGAACACAAGATTCCTTCAGTCCACGATTCTCCACCTCCCCCGCCGCGAAAACCTCGTTCGTTGCCGTCAAAACCGTCGCCAACGGCGGCTCTGATGATCAGATCGTGTAAGAGGAAGCTCTTAGTGTCGACCCCTGAGATTATCATGAATAGGGAAGAGATTGACCGTTTCTTCTCCTCCGTCTATAGTGACACGTCGACGACCGCGAAGCGGCGGAGACGTTATCTTTGTTGTGCGCGAAGATGAGCCTTTAGTTCAAGATTTACCTTTTCTACAGTTTTACTGAAAATATTGTGAACTCATTATAGTATAATATAAAAACCTTATTATAAGTATTTTATTTATTTAAAAAATGGATAATTTTCTGCAGCTGCATATTAATTCAGCATGGAGGGGTCGTTGTTGTAAATTGCGTAATAAATGAAATTTAATTCCAATTGCCAAGCATTCTAATACTAATTGGGATATTTATGTCATTTCTTAGAGACAAGAACGAGTTATTTATGATCCAGCGTCATGGTGGAAAAGTTACGCACGTAATTTCAATATATGTCCAAGTCGATAAAACTGTTTGTTATCCACATACTGTATTAGTTTACCTAATGTGATACTTATCATGTTAGCTTAATGAGCTATAGGTGGTACAAGTTCGTTTAAATATGAAACCATTGCATTTATGAGACCAACTAAGGGAAATTAAATGCAACAATTCTACTGTAGTTTTACATAGATTGAAGCCGTAGACAATTCTGATATTTTTGTAAGTTATTATACACGTTTATGTTTTTTTGGGTATTACATATATAAAATAATAATTATTGTTTCGTTATAATGGTGCATATTCAAAAACTACAATCAGTTGAATAAGGTACAATAAAGTAAATGCAAAATGTCATTTTTATTAACAGAATTTTTTTACTAATGATATAAAAGTATTAATATAGCAGTTACTTGTTAGCAAAAATGCTAATGGCGTTTAAAAGTATTAGGTGCTAATTTGGTAGAAGATGATGTATCAGTTGCGTGTCCTACAACAACGCGGAGATAATGAAGCCTTGACATATGCAACTATATTTTTCTTCTACGGATGTAAATGTCATGCACATGTAGTGGTGATACAAATACCTAAATTAGTATCTGTTTTTCGGAAAAAAATAGTAATGTTTTAATATTAGCTGATTTTTTCGTTAAAAATAGTAATGTTTAATCTCAGTAAAAAAGCATGCACACTCAGTTATATTAATATCAAATTTGATGATCTGAAATTCATGCTTGTTTCTGACATTTTGACCGGCCGGTAGAGCGACATACGTACGTAACTTTGGGATCTGTAGTTACTATGCAAATCGTTATTGTGTAGAATAATGCTTATCGAAAATATTCTAAAGATTTCAAAGTTCGAAGTTGATACTATTAGCGTGGCCCAGAAGAAAGTGGCCCAAGTGGCTCAGAAGCCCATTAAGGATTCTCTGCAACAAGACAAAGGTTCAACGTCAAACAGAGCACGAGGATGTGCTTTCTCATGTACGGTAAAGCAGCCTCTACAGCTGTGTAACCGTTATGGGATCTTATCCGTTTGCTAGCTGATGAAGTCACAGCTGGATGGTCTTTAGGGTTTTCATATCTTTGTATAAATAAGAACCTTTGTAGTCACAAACTCTTCATGAAGTTATAAACGTATTATTCAGAAATCCTCTGTTTTCCTCTCTTCTCTACTTTGTCTTCAGATACTCGCCGTTCATTTTTTTTACTATCTCCAAAATCATCACACTGTTTTTAGAAATGTTGAGTCCAGATAATTTGATTGGTGGACCATAAATTATGCAAACTAATATGTAAAATTAACATACATAAAATACATCGATCGGTGGTTACTAAACCATAATATCTTTTTAAAACGACTTTATATCAGTCTAATTAAGTCTGGCATTCTAATAAATATATTTAGTTTGAAATAAATTGAATTAGTTTGATTATTTCACTTACGTAAGTATTTTGATATAAGAGAATAAGAAAACAAATTGAATTGTGATTCCAAAAAATTGAATTGTCTGTATGCCTGAGTCTCTTTCGACAACTGATATTTTTTTCGTTGAGAAGCAACAATTTAAATTATTTAACTGGCGGAAAAAAACAAGAAGATTACTCACCAGACCAACAAAATTAAATGAAAATTAAATATAGAGTAATTATATGTCGCTGCGACCAAAATGGAATTAATGGGCGTTATTTATTAGACCGATAAAATTGAATGGAAATTAAATAAAATGCAATGATATGGTCCTGCGACGAAGGAGGAGTCATGTCTACGCACTCAACAAGTAAATTGTCTTAGAACACAAGTCACTCTTTTTTTAACTTCTTCATGATTGAGTTCTTCTCTTATTCAGTGGGAAAAATCAAGTGTATATATACCATATTGTCTCTTATAACAAAACATAACGTTATCATCATGTCGCATGTAAGAGAAAGCTAGTGACTAAATGTAATTTTTTTTTATTTTCTGGTTTAGTTTACACTTGGGTTCTGGTAGCTGGAGAACTTAACACCGAGTTATTCAGATTTCATTTTTGTTTGGTTTGGTTTTTGGAGGTACTATATATATCGAAATGTGTATTGGGCTGGATATCTTTTAGGCTCGTATAAGAGCCATATGGGCCATCGTAAATAATTAATACTAGAAAATATTAAAGAATAATGAAATTTTAAACAGAAACAAAAATGCATACAAACAAAGAAGAGCATTAGTAGGTCTCAAAGAGTCAAAGAGAGAGAAAGAAGAGAGAGATGGGAGAGATTGTGTTTACAGAGAAGCAAGAAGCTTTGGTTAAGGAGTCTTGGGAGATACTGAAGCAAGATATATCCAAATACAGCCTTCACTTCTTCTCACAGTAATCATATAAACATACAAGCATATTTAGACGTGATATGCATGTATGTTGTTTTTGTATGTATAAACAGTATACTGATGATATATAGGATACTGGAGATAGCACCAGCAGCAAAAGGCATGTTCTCTTTCTTAAGAGACACAGATGAAGTGCCTCACAACAATCCTAAACTCAAAGCTCATGCTGTTAAAGTCTTCAAGATGGTATGTACTTACCCCTTTTGTGATTTATACATACATGAAACATGATACATCTACTGATCTTTGTGTATCATTTACATATAGAATCGTTCATAATCTGCATTACACCTCTTACTCTTAGATTATAATTAGTGGGATGGTCTCTGCTAAATAGAAAAACATTTAAAATGGTTCCATTATTGCTGGTGAGGATCTTTTTAGTGCCTCTTTATATGATGTTATATAATTTTATATTCGAGTAGCCATGTGTACACGATATTGCGGTCTATCTTGTTTGGACTTGGCTAGTTGGTTTTGTCTTCTTCTTCGAGATATTATAATTGATTATATTAGTAAAGAATAATTAATATGTATTGGCTGATTCATAAAATCCACCTAAAACAAACAAACATACATCGATTCCTATCAACCTATAAATTTTACTGAAGAATCCAAGTCGGTTCGCTGTCTTAACTTTTCTTTTGGGCTGTCTTAACTTTTCTTTTGGTATAGTGGGAATAAGAACGACTAAAAACCATTGTTTTAGTTTTCCTAAAAAAGCTATTAAGCTCAAATTTTGTAACCATTAAGATAATGATGAGTTTTCTTTTCTTTGGGGTGTAGACCTGTGAAACAGCAATACAGCTGAGGGAGAAAGGAAAAGTGGTTGTTTCTGACACAACCCTCCAATACTTGGGCTCTGTTCATCTCAAAAGCGGTGTTGTTGATCCTCACTTTGAGGTCTCTTTCATAAATAAACTAATCTTTTCCCTGATTTTCCATCAAAGGACATGAAATTTATGCAAGTATGTGAATTTAGGTGGTGAAAGAGGCTCTGTTGAGGACTCTGAAAGAAGGTTTGGGGGAGAAATACAATGAAGAAGTGGAAGGAGCTTGGTCTCAAGCTTATGATCACTTGGCTTTAGCCATTAAGAACGAGATGAAACAAGAAGTCTCAGAAAAACCCTAAAGATCATTTGGGTATCTGCTCATATATTTATATTCATGAAATGGTGAATCTGTATGCACAAGTATGATTTCACATCATCTTTGTGAAATTTCCCTCAACTACTTTTGTTCTTATTTAAATACAAATGAATCAGGAACTGCAAAAAATAAATTAAGCCTATTGTTAACATAATATATCTGTCTGCTGCACTTGGTTTGATCCCTTTCATAGAGTTTACATCGCTGAAAATATCTGCAGAGACAATGCTTCAAGAACTTAGAGACGAACATGATTTAAACAAAAGAACAATATCAAAGATTTCGAACCTGTTCTTGCTCAGACATCAACAAATTCCCTTTCTCTTGTTTGTTTTTTTCCTTGTTCTTCAATTCTCAGAGGGCTTATGCGACAGTATAGGCTCTGATTACCTCAAGGATTGGCGCTCTACACAACGGGCATTTCCCTCCATTTCTGACTAGCTCGTTACCGCACACCGAGCAAGTGCACATGTGCCCGCATCTACAGATTCACAACGATATGTTCAGTCTTTTCTAGTTTGTTTTGGGTTCTGTAAATCAGAAACAAACCGAGTTTGAGAAAATAATTTACCTGTACAAGAGGGCATCTATGTCGGTATCGCAACAGACACAGCAAGTCCCGTTCCTTACATGACCCCATCTCGACCCATCCTCGGATGTTCCTGGTCCAAGACCTGATGGCATCATCCATTTAATTAACAGATCGTTCGATATGCAAACTAGGAATAAAAAATTGGATAGAAAGGAGAAGAAAAAAAACCTTGGTCACCGGGAGATCGGTTTAGAGCTGCAGAGACCTCTTGCCTAACAGAACGCTGCAGCTCAGACTGCATATCCAGACATGTTTCTAAATTCCTCTGCATATGACTCATTCCTTCCTGAAGTCTAGCCATCTCTCCTCTCAAGTCGTTCATCATCTCCCATTCCTATTCACCAGCACCATCCATATTAAGACATTTAAAGTAATAAGAAATCTCGGAGCTAATACACCATCTTTACGATAAAAGCACCAGAAACAGAGCTGTTAAGAGAGGACAAAAAAAAGACTGAACGTTTTAAGCTTACAAGTTCAGATCGATGCAGAGAGTGACGAGCGAAGTTGGTGTGATGCCTTGTTGGCTGTGGTGGAGGCACTGGTGGAGTTGGCAGCGTTTGTGATGGATTAATGCCATCAAGCTGTTCCTCGTCTTGTGGAAACCTTTGTTGCTCTGTAAGATGTTCTCTAGGATCCGATATTGCTGGTTGAAAATCCCAGTCAGCGTGAGCAAGACCTCCTCTCCTCTCAACATAGGACTGTATCAGTTGATCCAGATTTTGACGGAAACCACTACGTAGAAGGTTAGAAACATTTCTCCTACACGAGTGAAATGAAAAAAAAAATTCCATTAAACAAAGAGAATAGATGTCAGGAAAAACAGAGAAAACGAATCCACTATCTTAGTACCTGTTTAGTAGCTCTCGAAGCTCAATGCTGTAAAGATTATCGTCAGGTAAATGGAGCCTGTTTAATCTTCTCATTGGTGCTACACGGCGATTCCTTAGTGCTTCAAACCGTGTCTCTGGCCAATTTCCACCAGACTGTCTAGTGTTATCTGCAGGCCATACACTCTGACCTTCTGCTATAACAGTTGCATTTGAATTTCTAGTTCCGTCATGGTGCAGGTCATCAACTAAGTTTTCTTGTTCGTTTATAATTGGGTTACCATCATCCCTTTCACTTAACTGGCTTAACGTTGCTTCCAGGCCTGTTCTGAAAACTTCAGGCCAAACCCTTTCTTCACTAGTATCATCCCCCCAATTTCTATCTGCATCTGTTCGGTTACTTCCCGACCTGCCAGAATTGTTAGGTAAGAGTGGGGTACCAGTCCCCTGTATAGAAGAACTCGAGCTCTCATTTAGCCTCTGAGAATCCTCAGTAGTATTAGCTATTGTTCGGTTAATCCGGGAAGTATTGATGTTATCGCCATTAGTATTGCTTTCTAGCCTCTCACGGACTCCTTCCCTGTGATCATCAAATATCATTATCGAGGAAATTAGCTGCGAGTAAGCTAAATGTCAAAGAGTTAAAGTCGATATCTTCAAAGAGTAGGGGAAGTAATCAGATACAAGGGTATAACATATCAACACTTCACAATCACGACCATGTGACAAGTATAGGTAAATGGTACCATTAAACGAGACAGCATATTCTTTTTACCGCAAATCAGAAACTGTATGTCTTTCTCTTAGCTGACGAAGTTCACTTGCTGCCATTGATGGAGCCCTAACTTCCTCTGCAGGTGGCTCATTCCGCAAGAATCTTCTTCTAAGAAGCAACTGTGAAAAGGTTTACAACTATAACGTAAGGCTCTATCATTACGTTAATATATTTGTTAGTAATAGTAGCAGTCTTAGCGTACAGTTCGCGTTAAATTCCTTATCACACCTTTGGTTTCATCAATCAGGAGTACAAACACAACCAGTAAACTTTCATATTTTAAAGGGCAATGCTAACTTTGGAAATATAACCAGCAAAGAGCCCCCAAACTTTATAGCTCACTCTAGATTTTACAGTTCATTAGTATGCAATAAACGTTGAACAAAGAAGAGAAAGATGACTAAGATGAAAGTCTTAATAACAAACCTGAATCCGGTTGCGATGAGAAAAGTCAGAGACTGCACGATGCTCCAACAAACCCTGAAGCTCTCGCTGTCGCCGCTCTTGTTCAATCCTCATGATCAAATCAACAAATGCCTGCCTTCCTTGTAATCTCCGCAAATCTCTATCAGTATGCTCCCGCCGCCCTTCCTCATCCTCGACGGCTAACCCTTCACCGACCCTCTGAACTTGTGTACTCTCATGAGTCATGTCATCTTGTTGATCATCTCTTCGACTTGCACGCTGCTGACTTATCATTTGCATCCGTTCCCTGATAACCCTGACTCTCTCTCTTTCAGTATCACCAACCAGTTCTCCTCTAAGGTTATCGTCTCTCCGTCTTACATTAGTTACATAATCACTATCTGTGGATCCACGTACACTTTGTCTCACCCTCTCACTCTCAACATCGCCAAGATCTGGAGACTGTTCTCTACTGGAAGATCTATAATCACTCTCACTCTCACTTGAACCCCTTAGGCTCTCATTGTTCACCCGACTCTCAGATGCATTAGCATTTCTTTGCCTCGGTCTCAGCCTCTCACGTGCCATGTTGTGTACATGTTCATCTTCCAACTCTCTCCACATCTGAAAAATCTCAGATGCTTGAGTTCTAGGCCTCTCAGCAGTAACCTGCCGCCTCGAAGAGGGAGGAGGAGAGTGTGTCTCCTCCCTAAGGAAAGAAGCATCAAGCGTAGAGACAGCATGCAAACCAGCAATGGCAATGAGTTCAGACTCACGGTTCCTCCTCTCGATGGTGGTAATCATCTCCTGAGCCTGCCTTGCAGCCCAACGGCTCAGAATCCTGGACTGACGCCTCCTCGCAGCAGAGGATTCCGCTATGTCGTCACCTTCGAGATCAGACCTCCTTCTCCTCCTCAGAGATTGTTCATCCTCTTGATCATGATCATTTTCTTGATTGCAAGAACCGGATAAGATAAAATCTTCATTGAAATCCTCAAAACGACGAGCAAAATCAGCACCGGAACCGTCCATAGACTCAGGTTTTTGATGCAAAGGATCAATATCAGTCATCCTCAATTCCTCACAATAATACACACAAGAGATTCCTCTCACCACTCAGAATCTAAACCACAACATCACAAGTTTCCCGGGAAAATAAATATCAAAAGGATTCAAAATTTCACACCGAATCGTCCTCTAGATTGTTCGATCTCACCTGATTATTTATCACAATAACATCAAACGTTTCCCAGAAAATCCCTAAATTCAACTTTCTCTGAAAAGAGAAAAAATGTTGATTATTCCGATGAAAAACTCTACGAGACAATCGGAATCGATTGTGAAATTAACCGGGAAATGGTTATCGAGACATACCTCTTCTTCGAGTGCTTCGTCAATGGCGAAATGAAAACGAATCGATAAACTTTGCGAAAATTGAAACACGACGAAAAATCCGGAGAGGAATTGAAGAAGAAGAGAACGGGCGGTTTATATATGGCACACAAGAGAGGGAGGTGCCAATGGTCATTCGATAGCCAAGAAAAATACAAAAAAATTTAAAATCATTAATGAGTCATTGGTCACCCATAAAACTAAACTCATTCAATGCTCTTCCTCACACTTGTCAGCTAGTAGATTTTTTGAATGGACCTTAGAGGAAGGAAAAAGAAGATAAAAGATAGTATTATTTTCTGCCTATGATTCAGCAAATGTCATTATAATGTGTGGTATTTATCTTCTTTATTGAATAGTATATTTACTTTTTTAATGTGATTTATTTTCAAATCTTACACTTTTTTTTTTATGATACAATGTCTTAAATTTATGAAGTGTATACCAATTACGAGATAATATATTGTTGTTTTGTTAGTGGTAACTAAAATCCATGTGCTTAGTCAAAAAAAAAAATCTATGTGCTATGATGAACCACACATTAAAATAAGAATCTAACTTTTGAAATTGTAGCAGATTATTATTCATGAAAATGTAGTGAATAAATTCTATAGAAGTTTAGTAGGTAAGTATGATAAATGTTAGTTATAAAAACCTTATAAAGTATAAATGTTACATCATATAGAGAGATGTAAAATATTTGTGACCAAAAAACAAATAGAGAGATGTAAAATTTCCAAAGTGAAGTGAATATTTGAAGAAACTAGTAATATTATTTAATTAAATACTCTTTGCGACTATTTTTCTCTCAGAGTTGACAAACAAACCAACCGCGCACCAACGAACACGAAGAAGGCCGTTACAGAATACGATTACAAACGCCGAGAGGAGCACCACTTACGTCGCCGGAGATTTAAAACTCAGAGTGAAAAAAGTTGCGGCGAAGTTGAACGGAGCAGAGAGGTAAGTGTAGATTTCATCGAATCGAGTCTTCTCTCTTTCCCTCATCTCCAACTTTCTATCGACTGAACGTTTCTCTTATCTTTCGCAGCGGAGATGGATTTCACCGAGTCTGACACGGCGTCTGAATCCATGGAGGAGCTATCGCAAGAACCTGGTACTTTCGACTCGATTTGATCCTATCGGAATTAGAGAAAACGAGAAGTTTTGTGTTGCTTCGTTGATGATTGGATTAGATTGCATTTTATCTGTTTAGCTTCCCTTAGCTACGACTATAATCAGATCATCGATGAAATTCTTCGAAAATTTTGGTTATAATCTCTATGAAATTAAGGAAAACGATCGAGGTTAAGGTCTTAAGGAGCCAATACTGCAGTTTAGTGGAGATATTATATTCTATTTTCTTCACTCTGTTTCAGATTCTGATGAGAAGACAACGCAGATTCGTTTCCTTGTACCCAAAGCGTTAGCTGGTTATGTGATTGGGAAAGGTGGCTCAACCATCACTCAGTTCCAGGATTACTCTGGTGCTCAAATCCTGCTCTCTCGTAGTCAAGAATATTTCCCAGGAACGACTTGTAGAATCGTTGTGATATCTGGCACGATTATGCAAGTTCTCACTGCACTCCAACTTGTTCTTGCTAAATTACACAGCAAGGTAAAAAAAAATTTGAATTGCTAGAACCACAGTGATGTTGCACAGTGACTTAAATTGCTTCTAGCTGTCTGTATTTATCCTTGTTGATAGACCAAGTTTGGGTTTCCCAATTTACGATAGGTTCGAGGTGAAGATGGTAGTGATGTTGAGCTTAGGAGAACAAGAATTGTGGTTCCACACAGTTCATGTGGAGGCATCATCGGAAAAGGAGGAGCCACCATCAGGTCAGTTTTTGCTTTTTATTCTCGTAGAAAACTGACATATGAGAATGTGTTCATGTTGTTATCATTGTTTCCATACCTCATATCTTTAAGAGAACAAGTAATCTTCTCTTCATAGAATAAAAGGGATTTTTCTGGGGTTCGGAGTCATATCTTTGGATATTTATATTTAATTTCAGAGGGTGGTATTACATCTTTTAACCCTTAAAAGTATATGGTTGTTTTGCCATAGGTCCTTTATTGAAGACTCCAAGGCTGGTATCAAGATATCTCCTATGAATAGGTACTTCGGGTTGAGTGATAGGCTAGTGACACTATCTGGAACTATGGAGGAGCAGATGCGCGCAATTGCTTTGATCTTGACTAAGCTTACAGAGGATGATGATTACTCCCAGAAAGTGCATTCCCCTAATTCATATAGAAAAGGTATATTATTCTAGTAGTAGAATTGATTGTCTTCTTGAATTATCTTTTTGTTATCATGATCTGTGTTCTGTTGATTGTGTCTAGAAGTAATGACTTCTGTGTTTGCTAGCTATTAGGTTAGTATTATTGGTATCTGGTATGGCCATGCAAAATCCAAGGCAGAACTTTAGTAACTTGCCTAATTTTCTGAGCACGTGCGTCGGTAGTTGAAGCTTCATTTTCTTCTAAAGATCCTTTTTAACGCCAGATTTAGGTCTTTACAACTTTTTCCACGCATGTAAATCGGTGAAGTCACGCATGTCTTTTGGAAGTGAACAAAATCACAAGGTATCTCTCTTCTCACTGCATATCTTGAGTCATAAAGTTATATCCGTGATTATGAAAGAAACTCAATGTTGCTGGTTGCTAGCAACGTCTAAAGATAGGAGACTGTTCATGCGAAAGCAGGCCATTTTCGAGTTTAAATGTTTTTTTTTAGTTCAAAAGCTTAAAGCCATTATTTAGAAATGTTTTGTTTGTTTAAATTATAGGAAGATAGTTACAACTCAGTGACCATAGGTGTGTCGGATGAGCACATAGGTGTGGTCATTGGCCATAAAGGTAGTCACATCATGGAAATCAGTCAGGTCCGTTCTAATATTTCTGATTCCTTTCGACTCTTTTCTCACTCAAAATTCATCAGCACCAAACTCTCACGCCTTTATTGTCTTTTCGAATCTGTGAAATGGCAGTCAAGTGGTGCCAGAATAAAGATATCAGGCCGAGGAGTGTTTCTCCCTGGAACTACTAATAGGTATTGTCTATAACAAAACATTTACTTGTTACTGAGATAACATGCAGAGGGAGAACAATACGTCGACTAACTTTTTTCTTTTGACATAAAAATCAGGAAAATTACCATCTCTGGATTGCAAAGCTCGGTCGATTTAGCTGTATCGATTATAGAAGGTAAAGTTGACGAGGCGTCGAAGAAGAGGGACAAAGATGAAACTGACATGGATACAGACTAGTTTTAAAACAAAGTGTTCTTGTATATAACATCAGTCTCAACTGAGATTATCAATAGCGTTTTCAACGGTCAATGCTGGTATTCCCTTTGTTATGCAAACAGTGAAATGTCAAAGGGAAGATCATCAATCTTACGTGTGCAAAGGTGATATGTTTATTTTGATTAGTAGCATATTATGTCTTGTTTAGTCTCTGCACGTGGAACAAAAGTCTTCTACCGTCGCTATCGCTGACGTAGCCCATACCCGAATCGCTGAATGACTATAAAGCCCTTCCTTCTGAGTCTGACAACCCCCAGTCACGGTATGTCGGTATTACTTGAAAAGCACTTTACTCTCATAAAGACGGAACAAGATGAGATGCCGTATAATTCACGTCTTGAAGAGACGCTTATGCCCTCAGATCTGATCACTATTAACGGGTTTTGCACAAAATAGCTCAGAGACGCACAAAGCATTCTTTTGTTGTCTGAATAGATTAGATGATAGGGATAATATATGACAATGGACCAACCTGACCATGTTCGCAAAAGATGCATAAACATCCCAAAAGAAGAAGAAAAAGAGACACCACAGCTCAACGGCTGCGATCCGGTTTATCCTAATTTTACAACAGAGACTCACACGGTTCTCAATCCGTCTGAAGAAGCTACATAGATAGCTCATAATATTACAGCTAGAATGCAAAGAACAAGAAACCTGAAGAGAAGAGTTTTAGAGCTCTGCTTGTCCCTTGGTGGCGTTGTTCTTCCTCAGCTCATCGTTCTCCTGACGCAATGCATCGATCCTCGACTGAAGAATACTGATCATAGCCTCTGCACTCATCATCTCAAGCTTGAAAGTCTCTCTCTCAACAGACATCTGGTGTATCTCTTTCTGGAGATCATTAAGCTTCTCTTCAGGAGATGGAAGTGGAGCAGGAGGAGAAGCTTCCTTGTTAGGAGGCTGCTGGTTTGTTTCTTTCTTTGCGGATATACCCATGAGAGAGAATTCAAGCAATGCAGAGATGGCGGTGTTGGTGGCAGCAGCAGTAACAGATGATGAGATTAAAGTTGTTGGTGTATTGTCGACGGTTGTTATTGTGGACGAACAGTGATCCTGTGTGGTCCTGCTTGAGTTGTTGTTTGGTTCGTTTTGGCGTCTGCGTTTGTATTGAAGGAGAGGTAATGGTGCTTCTTTGTTGAGAACACATGTAGGAGGAGGACGTTCATCTTCTTCTTCTGCTTGCTCAAGTTTGAGTGCTTCCTCAGCTTCATCGTGATGGTTATTGTTGTTATTCTCCTGTGGCTTGGGGGTGTTCTCATGATGATTCTGATGGTTAACTTCGATATCCATTGGGGTAGTCTCTCTTGGTGGCTCGTTGATATTAATGAGGTCCTTGCTTGGTGACTGAATTTAAGACAATTTACAAAGTTATATGAACCCAAGTGGGCACACACAAAAGATTTGAACCACTTAAGAGATAGTTTCAACACAGATCTTATGCATATAAGAAGTACAGGAAATGAAACTAAACAGCTTTTGGGTTATGAAGGAAGTAAAAACCTGGTCCATCTGGTTGTTTCCATTAGCCAATGGTAGCGGCTCAGCCCTGACCCTAACGTCTACTCCTGGAATCAGAGCGACTCCATCATCAGCCCATTCCTCTTCCAAGAATGGCGCGTATCTGTTCCCACTTGGTGGCCCAATGTTGTTCTTGTGGAACACTCTGCACAAAACATATGCATCTTGCTGCAACCAAACAAAGAGTTACTTATCGGTTTATCTGATACTGTCTAAAGAATCCTAAGTTAACTACTATCTTATACCACGAGGTTTCCATTGGATTCAGTTTCATAGTCCACAAGGCGATACTCATGCATGACCCAATTGGTGCGAAGCCCGTCAGGTGCACGCCCACTGTGGAAAACGAGTGTCTTTTTCATACCGAGCAACTGAATGTCACGGCGGATCTCTCTGTCTTTTCCAGTTGCTTTCCAGTAGCCTTTGTTAGTGGCTCGGTTCATCCTAGCGCCGTTTCCGTACTTCTTATCTAATGCGCTGTAGAAGTACCATTCCTGGTCTCTTGTCTTCAACCTCGAGAAGACTAGAAACACACACACAACAAGCAGAAGAGAGAAAAAAAATCAAACTTGAGATACTTAGACACGCAACAACAAACTTCATGTCCTGAAACACAAATAAACTAATGCGGAACCACAAGTAAACAAGACATCCTTAAGGAATCTGAAGCCTGATTTAATAACACTAAACTCAAAACTTCATTTCCTGAAACCCAAGCAAACCAAAGTGAAAACACTGGAATCACACACAACACAGCAGAAGACAAAAACCAAACTTGAGATACTCAGACACGCAACAACAAAACTTCATGTCCTGAGACACAAGTAAACTAATGCAGAAGCACAAAGTTAACAAAAAAAATCCTTAAGGAATCTGAAATACAAAAAACAAAATTAAACATGACTTACTAACAACTAAACTCAAAAACTTCAGATAACCAAACACAGAATAACAAACTTCATTACCTGAAACACAAGTAAACAAAACTGAAATCACAAGTCATACAAAATTTCTTAAGAAATCTGAGAAACAAAAAAAAAACTAGATTTTTCCCAATTAATAAGTCCATAGGCTTTGTAATTCTCTTCACAATTTTACAGCCTAAATATAGCAAAAAAGATAGATCTGCAACTCAAACCCCATAAAGCCAAACTCTTTCCCCAGAATTGAATCAGGAAGACAAAACCATGAACAACCCACAAAACAATCACAGAAAAAAAAAAAACCATAAAGCTAAACTCTTTTTTCCAAAAGACACACAAACGAAAGAGACAAAGAGAGAGCGAACCTGCTAAGTCCCAAGGCTCATGCTTGTAGATATCAACATCCCCAATCGCATCGAAACGTACCGGTTTACCCATAACCTTTCTCTTCAAGTAATAGCTCACGAGTTCCTCGTCCGTCGGATGAAATCGAAACCCAGGAGCAAGCGATGTCGCCGCCACAGCAGCAGTACCCCTCGCCGTCGCTGGAGAAGACACAACAGCCACAGATTCGCGACCCATCGAAAGCAAAAGACTGTAACTTTTGTTTAATCTCTTAGGGCTTCTTTAAGCAAACCAAACCTCACCAGACGAACAACGAAGGAAAGTTGGGAAATGGGTATTTTTCTTTTAATTAATAGGGAGAAGAAACCAAAGAGAAGAGAGAAGCCCACGATTAAAGGTACCTTCAATTGCAAGAAATTTATTTTTCTTTTCTTTTTTTTTGCGTTTCCGAGAAGGTTAGAAAACAAGTGTTTTGGATTGCGATTCCAGTTTTTGCTTCTTTTTTCATTTTGTCGATTAGTTATGTCTTTTTTTTTTTTTTTGAAGGGTTGCTGTAATAAAACCCTAGTAAAATGTTACTGCTTAGTTTTGTCGTTTTGTGGAGTAAAATAGAGGAATCACTGTGGTAGTGAAAGTAAGTATTAAAAGAAAATATCTTTTATTATTTAACGATAATATATACGTTTGATAAAAAATATATTCTGTCTTGAAGAATTCTATCAAATCAAAGTAATAGATATTCTATTATTCTTTGTCCAAAAAGAATATTTTTTACTTAACAAAAAATTCAATTTCTCTTTTTTTCTAAGCGCATTGTAGTAAATATCTTATATTCCATTAAATACTTCTGAAAAGGTTAGATTATGATATTATCTCATTTTAGTATATCATCAGAATATAAATCTTTAGATATATTTTGCAGTTTCAAAGAAATTATTTTTTTTATTAATTAGGCAACTTCGAAATTAGGGTCCAATTTGCATAGCAAGTAATTGTTTTAACCCTCATGTATAAGCTGATGGGTAAACTGATATAGTATCCAGTTTTACTTTTATCTAATCTATTAAAATCAAGGAATTGTATTTTGTCAGGATAATGTCATTTTCCTTATTCCTGTCAATTAAAATATACAAATGGTAACAGTGATTGTTGTAGATAAAAGTTATTAAGTTGACCCATAAAAGAAGAAAGAAAAAATTAAATGAGAGAATAGAAGGTGAAAACAAAATAAAGGAGTGACAGGTACGTTTGCTTGCCAAAGGATACTTTACCAATAAGGCAAGCTAAAGGAGAAGAAGACTTGGTCCACACGAATCATCATCTTCCCCATTTTCTCTTAATATATTCATCTTCACTTATTGTTCTTCTTTCTTCTATCTACTGATCTACCTACTAGTGCAAGTCCAATCTAACTTTCTTTCAGTTTTCAGTTCTCAGCTTGTTTTTCTTTTTATAATATTACTCGAATTGTATATACAAATAAATACGAGGAAAAAGTTGATAATCCATGTATCTATTTATTCTTAAAATTTATATAAATTTTAGCGCAGAGATATAGTCATACTTTTATTTATGTCTGTTATGTATTTTGATTGACCTGGAAGTAACCAAAACGAAAATATCAAAATCTTATAATTACATAACTTTTGAAATAGTAAAGTAAAAATAAATCAAAACATTATTTATTTATTTTAGGCTGTCAGCTAACTGACACCACTGTCTCCATAAAAGGACAAAATGCTAAAATATCAAGACAACTTTTTCCAGCCTCATACTTTCAAAAACCTGTTAGAGCCTCGTGTCTGGTTCTTGGCCTAATTTCCTCTAAGGTTAGAGAATAAGCCCATTATTCATTGTTAGCCCATTTAGATGACATACAATATATTTTGGGCCTAAAAGACCCGTCTTCGAGGCAAATAGTTAGTACATCAAGAAAAGTGTTATGAATTGCTGCAATTCTGGCAAGTATTTGCATGTTCTTATGATTTGTTCTTTTTGATACAAAAACATGTTCTTATGATTTTCGGCTTTCTATTTCCAGTTTCCAAAGACTATGGGACATTAAATAATCGTAACATTACATTTTTTGTTCTTATATATCCGTAGAAAATTGTGCATTTTATGTTGTAATGTTTGATTGCACGGTCGATGTTGAGACTACATTATCCAACAAAAGCATAATTAAAGGCCATAGTAAACATCGTTTTTTAACATGATAGTAAACATTGTTACAAAAAGTTTGTTATAAAGAATTTTGTTTTTAAATAGAATAAAAAAATAATATATTTCTTAATACTACGTACGATGTACTGGAATAAGAACGAAACATGGAGTGTGTGATATTTATTTTTACTGTGCAACCAAAAAATCTTACATTAACTTGGATGTAGTTACATAGCATCTGCACATATAAACAAGGAAGGGAAAGAGGAGTCGCGTGGCTAATGGGTATAATATATAGTTTTCTTTTGAAATGAAGTAAAAAAAAAAAGGAATATTGCAATTCTTGAACAAGCAAGGAAAGAGTTATTTTCTTTAAAAAATGGTTCATCAATTTTTGCGTAAAATTTTAAAAATTAATAAACGAATTTTGGTATTGAATATTCGATTTCAGTAATGGCAATCCACCAATGTAGGAGCAGAAGACAAAACAAGAGACTTTTGTTCTTCTCTCTGTTGTGTTTGTTCATGTTCATGTTCCTGCTCTTGCTTTGATGCAAAGCTTAATCCGTTGACTCGATTCACATCTTCCGGGGCAGGTAGATTCAGATCCAAATCTAATGACACAACCGCACTTCTCGCTCTCTTAACCGGAGCCTGAACCGGATGAACTTGGTCAAACGACATAGGTGACAATGACAGTGCCGTGTTTGCCGTACCGGTAGTAGCCGCAACCCTTACCGTTGCGGTAGAAGCGGATGCTGCTGCTGAGGCCATCACTGCGCCTCTATGACGTCTCATGTGACCACCTAAGGCTTGTCCCGATGTGAATTCAGCTCCACATATCCCACATTCATGGACTTTATTATTACCCGCTTTACCATATACCACAAGCGACCTATGGCTACTATTGTTGTTAGGAGTCGCGGTGGGAACGTTGTTGAGATGAAGAGAAACGGCGTCGTTGTAGATAGACTTCTTGAGTTCATGATCGGAGTGAAGACCCGCTGCGGCTTTAGGCTTCTTGTGGCTGGCTCTATGGCCACCAAGTGCTTGGAAAGAAGGAAAAGTCCGGTCACATGTTTTGCATTGGTAAACATAGTAACCGGCTCTGCCTCCACTCGTGGTCCCATTAGGTGAAGATGTCTCGAGAAACCTTCTGCTGCTAGTTCTATAGGCATTGTTATGGCCAGATTCTTGGTAACTCATCATAAATTGTCTTGTTTGTTGTGGTTGTTGTTGAGGAATATAGTGACCTTGGGCGAGGAGGATCAAACAATTAGCCATGTCTTGATCTTCCTCGTCAGCCGCGGCCTTTAATGTGGCATTGTTGTTAGAAGATGAAGAAGCTGAAGATGTCACACCATTTATAACAACGTTGTTGTTGTCATTCTTGTTGTTGTTGATCTCATCATTGAGACTCTTCTCCTTGGAAACAAGACTTGTGGACTCTTCTTCGACCTCCGGTTCTTGAGAAGACATAGGAGGGACGATAGAGAAAGGGATTGGGGAGAAAGGACGCTGCCTCTTAGTGCGTTTCCCTTTAAGGATCAAGGATTGCTCCTTAGCGGCCTCCTCGGCTATTTCCATTGGCTATATACAGATAGATTAAAAGAAAATGAAGAGGGAAGAACTAGAAGATATGAACTAGAGAGAATTGGATTTGAATTAAGATGGAGAAGATGAGGATTACAAATATATAAACATGTTTATGTGTGTTAAGAGAGATGTATGTGTGTGGATTGGAGAAATGCAATACATAAATAGAGAGTGATTTATGGAGAGGAGTCAAAGAGAGACACCACATTTTCAAGTGTGTGGAACATGTTTGACTTGTCTTTTTCCAACCTCTTACATTTTAGTACTTCTGTTATTGTCTATTACAATTTTCCCAAACTTGGCAAACTCATCACAATACACACAAGAGCTAGAGAGAAAGAGACCAAATATAACAAACATGTTGTGTAAATTTAGACAATAACTTGAGTAATGCATCATTTGTCTCTTCAATACCCTTTTCTTTTACTGTTTAAACAACCTATTCTTGGATTAGTTCTGTTATGTCTAAGAATCACATGTTGGCTTTTTTAAACGATAATTACATTTGGTTGGACTCTAAACACAAATGTTTGCAGATCAATATTTAATCACCAAAACTGATTAATTACATTGTTTTTAATTAATCCGGATCTAACCTTTAACTCGATATATATTTTCTTTTGTTATTGACAATGAATGTGACGTTCTTGTGATTGATACAAATAATGATACATTTTAATAAAACATGCTATATTTTATATCCCGTAGAAATTTTAAGCAACAGCTATATATTACCGAAACCAGTTTGAATATTATTTAGTAATCTTCTACTATATATCGTTGAGAAAAACATAAATGATTTTAAAATAAAGCCAAAAATGGAACTAGAGGCTATAAGAGGTTACGTTTGGTGAACGAATGTGTAAATTAATGAGAGTGCAAGCCTGGCTCTCACGGAACCTACGGTTCTCCCTTCCTATATCTCTACCATTACTCCACTTCCATCTTGTTCCTTTTTATTTTGTTTTGTTTATTCATATGTTGGCATACATTCTTATTATACGTCTACGTACGCATCTCTTTGCACATGTTGGTCTAGTGCAGAAACACTCTTCTATTTAATTTCTAATGACTTACGAAAGAAAAAAACTAAAGTCCACCCAATATGTCGTAAAAGTACGACGACTTATTAAACCAGACTTGAGAGTTGAGACAATAACTGGGGAAGCATAACTAGACAATGACCAATTCTCGTCTTAGTTTGAAACAAATTCCAAAACATGTAACTTCATGAGAAGAAAAATGGTAAATTAACCGTGTGTCGTGGTCGTTTGGTAGCATGGTGTTCAATAAATCTTACGGGACCTGAGTTCAAATCCTTCTACATTCAAATTATCACAGCGTATGGTCACTGAAACTTTCACATTCTCTCTTTAAATAATGGTCTACTATTTTTTTAAAAGAAAAATGGTAAATTAATCAGCATGCCAACATAAACGATGTGTGTTATATACATTTTAAATGCGGTGAATTCAGTTAATATTGTCAACGATGAATTTAGGTGAGAGGAGTAGGGTGTTATGTAGATCAGTTGATTATTAATTTAATAATTTTACATTTTTTCATGCATATTTGCATAATTATTTACTCCTGCTATTTTGTCCCAAAGCTGTGAACTGAAAGTCTAACTTGTGTTTTGTGTATAAAATACCATTTCAAGGTATAATACAAGTTGGAGTGTGTACGTATTATATGAAGTATATGCCGATTTGTTCATGGTTGCATACTTGCATGATGTGAAGAGCACCCACTTCACGTAAGAATACTACTAAGTAATAAGAAATCAATAAATATGTGAACTTAGGTGCTGTGTTATTTTCTAAAAAGTCTACTCTCCATTGTTGGATGTAGCTAATAATTAGCTTAAACATGATAGTGACTAATTATTGCTTATTCCCAATGATTAGGGAAGAGTCGACTGGATAACATGGAGTGCATGTAACCACAATATACAATTCAGTACACGTTAGTACATACTTTCAGCATTATATACTTAAAGTATTGTAAAACTAACTAAGCAGGTAAAATATACTCCATCCGTTTTAATTTATATGTCATTGTAGAAAAAAATATTCCTTCCAAAATAAATATCGTTGTATAATTTCAATGCAAAATTTATTGTTTTTATTTGTTATTCTATTTTTTATTGGTTGGAATGTGTTTAGATGTATAAAGAATTGTGTTTTTTTCTAGAAAATAAGCAAAATTAAATATATTTTTTTAAATATGTGTGCAAAAACCTAAAATGACAACTAAAATGAAACGGATGAAATATCAATTTTTGTTTGTCAAATCTAATCTATTAAAAAATAAGTACAAAAAATTATCCTTAATTTTCTTCAAAAATTACAAAATAATGCCAATGCAATTAAAACAATGTAGTTTTACTCTTATATGGACTTAGATATAGGTTTAAGATCCCTCACTAATTTTAAATCAAAACCAAATTAACCAAACCAAATTGCCCAATTCAATTTAAAATATCATTTGTTAATAAAATTGTTAAAACTCTTATTTTTGTGAGAATCTTTTTAGTTGTTGCTGTCTAAATAATTTATTTTAAAAAAATATCTATAAAATCTACTTTCAAATTATAATTTTAATCACAAAATTTATAGTATAATTTATTAAAACACACACAATCTAAACAAAATATTCTAATATTTTACACTTAATTGTTTAGTTTACCAAGTAAAGAAAATACAACTTGATAGATAGAAAAAACACTAAACAAAATGAATAAGATACAATAACATCAAAACTCAATAACCTATGAAAACATAAATATAAAAGATTCATTTTAATTGGAGTTATGCTGTTTTATTCTATTATGAATCGAATAAAGAACATTAAATTGAAGCAATATTGAAGAAAATAATTATAAGGCCATGCAAAAATTAGAACACCAACGTGAACCAACCAATAAACTCCTTGCAGAGCATTCAGTGCCAAAAATTTAGGCTTAGCCAAACGGTTTGGCTTATTCTTTAAGATTCAAATATAAGTGTGATCATATGATACAATGTTGGTACATCCAACTGCAAAACAAAAATATCAAATGTAGTAGCACATTAGAAGTTTCACCTTAATAATAAAGGCTTCTTATGGAGAAGGCGTGATACAAATGCTTTAATAGAACAATAATTTTATTTTTATTTTTTTTTGGTGGTAAAAGTAATAACAATGTTTTTGCTCCATAGTGTGTCCTCCTCCCTGCAACCAAACCCAACATAATTCAGTTAAGAAACATAAGCGAGAAAACTGCTATCAAAATCTTTGAGTGGAAACTAAAATAGAGTCTTGCTTTGATCGTCGCATATGTCATCTTATTAGCATAAGTCCTTGTGTATCTGCCAAAAAAAAAACAGAGCGAGGCTAATAAGCTCATACAACTAAAGAATGAAACAACAAGAAAAAAATGGTAATCTACCCAGCGATTTGATTGCTTGTCATCCAGGGTCTCCAGTCATCAATGAGAGAATAGTTAAGAGATCTAATCCAAGCTTGTGTTCCAAGGAAAGGCACGAACATATCGTGATCACCACTGTTCACCCCAAAAAAAACCTAAGCTTACAAAAATGCCTTGAACGGTCCACATACTTTTTTCAAAGGCAAGAGGATATACTCTCTGACCTGTAGATGAGAGAACGGTAGCCATCGATGCTGTTATTCTTATGGTACGGGACACTGCTTTTAATGTCACGAGTGTATGGTAATCCCCAGTTACAACGTACCCATTTCTTTTTACTTTTCTGTAATTAAATTATTAGTGACAATGTCCCACATCAGAAAAGTTGAAACGAATATTAAGTATTATATAAGACATGCAGACTAATCCATTTGTCTTAGGGAGGTCTGGGCGTTCGAGGGCCCGTCGGATTCGGTTCGGTTGATTTTGGTTTTCGAATTTTCGGTACCATGTTCATAAGTCCCGTTCGGATTTTACTAATTATAGGGTCGGGTTCGGTTCGGTTCTCCAAAGTATCAAGCTCTCAAGTCCGATTCAAATATTCTTATATAACGGTTCGGATCCGGTTTCGGTATTTTCGGTTCGGGTTAGGGTAGGGAGTTTGGTTTGGGGTAAAAACGCCCAAGCCTAGTCTTACGTTACAAATTCATCTAATTTATCACATAGTTTCTTATTGTTACAAAATAAAATAGGAGAGTAAATGGTTAACTTCTGTCATAGTACCTTATGAATTTGAAGAGACTTGCGCACACTCTCATCATTGGCCCAATAGGCAGTTAACACGTAACGATAAGTCTGCAAATGCAAACTCGTATGTTTACTTTCTCAATGCTTTAACAGTTAACAGAAGATAAGATAGATAACTTACATAGCAATCGGGAGGTGTGTGTTCAGATTCTTCGCACGGTGGCGTTAAAATAAGTGCGAAGTTTAATTTATCAACGCACTACAAAAAACCACCACAAAAGTCTAATTTAGTGATAAACCTTAAACTCTGAACTCTCTATGAGTGTGTGTGTTACCTTATGATAATCTTCAATGAGTTTCAAGCATTCTTTGTTACTTGGATCAACAGTTACATATTCTCCTTTGCAGATTCTCTTCATAGACTGCTTAAAAAAACAGAGTTTTGAACTACTTTTGTTATCTTCTTTCAAACAAAAGTACATATGTATGTGTTTCATACCTCGTAAAGTTCATCAGAGATCAGTGCCATTCCATGAGCATAAGGAATGCAACTGTTAACATCAGATGCAACTTCGGTTGTCGGATTCCCAAGCACATAGCCCTGTTTTGAAGGTAACTATCAGTTTTCATCAAGTCAACGTACATAGATTATATGTACCGAAGCAACAACCTGAAGATTTATTGGTGGTTTGCAGCATACATAGTTTCCTGTAACATCATGTTTTTACTGTTATAAAAATTGCAATACTAATCAAGAAATGATACAAAGTAGTAAATGAAAAAAAAAATCATAACCTTTTGAGATTTCTTGAACGAGTGCTGGAACAACCATACCGGAATAAGAATCTCCACCAACATAGAAAGGGTTGGAGGAAAACTCTTGATGCTTGTTTAGCCACTGCACAACAACCACACACAAAAAAAAAAGGCTCATAAGAGTATGTATATGCACAAAAGAAGAGATGCTTCAAGAGACGACCTTGTGAAGAAACTCGTGGATCAGCTTGACTTCTCCTGAATCACTAGGTTTACTAGCAAATTTTCTTGAATAGGAGAAGCCAGTTCCAACAGGCTGATCCAAATATATTATACTCGAAATCTGATACAAAGCTTGAAAAAAGATGAGGCAGAGAGTTGTAATCTCATTCATATTTAAAATATGTACAACATTTTGTGATACCTTAGTCCATGAATATGTCGTAGATACCAAGGAAGGAACAGTTCCATTATAAACATCCAACTTCACAGTCATAGGCCCTGTTTTGTTTTTTTTTTGTATTTAATTTTCATTCACTGAACAAAACACAAGAGACACAGTCATTACCATTCTCGTAAAAAAGACCGGAGATTGAAGAGCAACCAGGTCCACCACTTAACCAGAGAAGAATAGGGTCTTCTTCAGGATTCCTCTCAGATTTAATGAAGTAGTAGAACAACTGCACTTGCTCTTCCTCACCAACACCAATATACCTTTGAAAACAAAAACAAACATGCTTAACTCCAAACTCTCAGAACAAAACCGGTTTATTATGGTAGTTTTTTTTCAGAAAACAAACCCGGTTTCAAGCTCAAAAGGAAGAGGACCTTCAAAACCAGGAAGATACTTGATAATTGATGCAGAATCAACAGCATTGCGACACAAGATAATAAGAAGAAAAAGAAGCAGCTTCTGGATAGATGAAACGTAGTTGTTAGCCATTGGTGTTTTGATAAACCATGTCTTTTAGGACCAATTTTAGAATCTTTTATGTTAGAAAAGCGCACACACACACACACAAGGCGTACCGTAATTCACTTTGTCTCCTCCTCACACTCCTTTCAGTCTCCATCTTTGGATTTTGTTTTTCTTTTTACTATTTATCCGAATCTGTCATGTTTTTCTTTTATTATTAAAAAAAAAAAATAGAAAGCGTATTAATCACGGCTTAAATCTTAAGAGCTTTTATTTTTAGACTTTTATAAAAGAATATGCTAAAATTAGTTGTATTAGGGCATCCACAGCTGGAGTCCTATATACAAAAAATATCAATATTTAATTAGTTAATCTTTCAAAAAAAAAATTGAAATTTTTTAGCATGGGTTTTTCAATATTTTGATAAAGACTCTCCATTGTAATATTTAATACTATGTAATAAACTTTTACCCGGACGAGCTACCTCAACTGGTAACATCTCAAGCAATTGCTTGAGAGGTCACGAGTTCGAGTCTCGAGCGGGGAGGAGTGTCCAGAGCCGTAAAAGGTACAGACGCAGGTTGGATCCGGATCTAGGGGGATTAACCTGAACCCATCCCGGTTAAACAAAAAAAAAAAACTTTTATTGAAAAATCTTTGATGAGCTGGCCTTCGATAGATATTGAGATAAATACTGTAGTGAGATATTAATATTTTTTTCTGAGAATTGATTATGAGAGAATTTTAATGCAGACGATTGGGTATATACTTGAGATAATACTTGTGGGGTCTTCTTGACTCAGCGATGTGTTGTGTAATAGCGCGCCAATCATTCAGTTCTATCCAATCAATGGACACTTAGCTGGCCGGAGGCCCGAAGCCTAGTCGGAGAAGGAAATGTTAGATCGATTTAGAAAACAAAACAGAAAAACAAGACAGATTTGTTTTCCTTTTTATTAACCTGGGATATTCTAAGGCCTATGGAGAGGTCCAGCCTAATCCCCAAAAGGAGGTGCAGCTCACGGATAGACTTTTTTTTTGGGTATTCAAATGAGTCCTAAAGCATAAGTCCATAACCGTGTTAGGTGACCACGATAATTGTGACTTAGTTTCGCGCATCAGCTAGATCGAACCTGAAACATGTTGGTGTCTCAGTCCTGTCTCCTTATCACTCGATCACAATCACCTGGTATTTGTTGGCAGTGGAAGATAAGAAGTCGAGAGTAATCTTGGAAAAACATGCACTGTCGGCCATGGCCCATCATGATATATTTAATCAAATGGCCTAACTATTTGCCTTCTTATACAAATCTTGCAGAACACAAAAGGCTGCACGCACAACCCTTAATAGAATTATTTTGGATTGATATATACTATAGTTTTCTCATTTCTGAGTGATTTAAGTTGACTCACCGCAAGTCCCACTAATTCATCAATAATAAACTGATGTTTTGACAAATAAATGTTTTCATACACACTTGTTGCATTACTTTAAAACGGTCTTTTACAGTTTTGTTATAGAAAAAAAAAATTTCGTTCTCGCCTCAAAATCGTTCTTTGGCATGTAACTTATATTATATGAGGTTTTCATGCTTCTCGTTATTTAACAAATACAAAGACAGAAAATAGGCAAATAAACAGTATAAGCATGCGTGAGACCAAAATGACATTAAACCGGGTTGAAGAATCGTCTCCTACTTTTTCGTGGTTTAAAATATCTCACCGATTTGGTTCGGTTAAGACTTAATTGGTACGATTGCTTTAGCCAATCAATTAAATAAATAGATTTCTTTTCTTTTTTTTTTGTTTCGGTTAAATCTTAAACTGGTTTTATTTGTTAACATTAAAGAACAGTTTCGCACCAAAAAGATTAATTAAAGAATCACAGTTACACTGTTTAAATAATCTCCCAATTTGGTTCAGAAACCTTATCTGGTTCGCTGGCTTTAATCAATCAATCAGATAAAAAGATTTATTTTTGGTTCAGTTGAATTTTAAACTGGCTCGCTGGGTATATTCGGTTTTACTAGAAAATCGCTGCGCGCCGATAAGAAAAAGATTTAAAAATAAAAATATGCTAAACTACTAGCTTCATAGTCTGAAAAACCAAGGAGTTGCTACTATTCCTTAAACGGTTAAAATTAAAAAATATTCTTATGTGAATAACTTTTGTTCTCTAAAACATGCTAAACTACTAGTTTCATAGTCTTTTGTCATGTTTTCATTCTCTATACTACTATTAGCAAGCGAATTTCGTAAACAAATATTGTCTTGAGATTAAGAAGAAATGATTTGCTTGCTTTTTTTGTTTTTGAATGAATGCTAATATTATATTCAGCAAAAAAACTTATTACAACAAGTGTGACCTTTGTTTTTGTTGTGTAGGGTGATTAATCTTTGGTTCTGAAATTAGGACTCTATCCTCCACTAACTTGCGGATGTATATATTATCGCAAACTCGGTTGCTAGAAAACAGATGGAGAAGCTTCGTTGATTTCGGCTTTAACATTGTTTTTTATAACTTGGACTTATGCACTTACTCAAAAAAGTACTAATTGATAGTGTTATTAAGTTCATTTCTTTAAGCTTATGCTATTCGTTCTTTGTTTGAACCCTTTTATATCGAAGCTAAGAGCATCAGCGTTCATATAATCTCTAGCAAAATTTTATCATAATATAATACTGATATAATGCAATTTTATAGTTAAATTTTTTAAAAAAGGAAAAGATAAACCAATAACAGGATGATAAATCTTATGTGAGCCTCTAGCAAAAATTCGGATCTCTTAAAAAGTGATATCTCTAATTTCTCATTTTTTTTTCATATTTGTGTATTTATTTCATTAATTTTAATTTAAGAGATTCTCTTAGAAACTATAGATGGAGATGTCCTAGCAGTTCTTTGTGTGGGTTCGTATGTGTGGACTGTGGACAATGGATATATTTCCTCGTGGATAAGTAAACAAATATATATCAATAGAGAACGTATAACCCCGATTATTTTCTTTTCTCTGTTTTGTTTTGGGATAAGATGTATTTCTAATTTAGATAATGATGAGTTTATACAAGTCAGCAAAACTTAATAAATTTTTTTAAAGAAATATTATATGAATGAGATTTCATAAACTTCTACATTATCAAGAATAGGGTTTTCTTCTTCGTGCAGTTCATCCCCTTTGTTCTCAGAGAAAACAAAATAAAATGCCTCGCATAGACAGGATCAGTGCGTTGCATGACGATTTGCTGCTGAAAATATTGTCTCAAGTCCCAACAAAAGATGCTGTGACCACCATGGTTTTGTCCAAAAGATGGGGTTTGGTCTGGACGATGGTGCCTAAACTTGAATACAAGGATGCAAGCAGAGAAAAGGAAAAGAGCGTTTGGGGATTAGTTGACAAGTCTTTGCAACTCCACAGAGCAACTGTACTAGAAAGCTTGCATATTGAAGCTGAATGCCAGTTTACGGACGATGCAGATGTTGGAAGGTGCGTGTCATATGCTGTTGACCACAACGTACGAGAGCTAGCTCTTATTTTACCATCTCTTGTTTTACCAGCTCAACCAAAGATCCTGCTGCTGCCATCGAACTTTTACACCTCAAAAACGCTAGTGAAACTGACTCTATCATGTAGTGCTCTCGTCGTTGATGTTCCTTCCCTAGCTTGCTTTCCTTTGCTTCAGATGCTGACCCTTCTCAATGTTGTGTTTAAAGATCAAAACTCTCACGTTAGGCTTCTAGCGAATTGCCCTGCGCTCATTTATTTACGAGTGAACCGAAAGAGGGGTGACAATGTGACAGCTTTCATTGTGAAAGTTCCTTCTTTAAAGAGTTTTAAATACACGGATTTTCACGAAAGATATTCGGCTATGCCCTTGGTTTTAGACTCCCCTGGATTACGACACCTTAGTATAATTGATCATGGAGACCTTGGCTTGATCCAGAACATGCCTCACCTTCAGACGGCTTATGTTGGTCACTTTGTTACTCAGCCAAATGACAAGTTTCTGAGATCTTTTTCCTCTGTCAGGAATCTCCATTTGAATTTGATGAACGTAACTATTTTTAGTATCCTTCTTGTTCTTATATGTGATGATATCTCTTTGATGTGTTATGCTTATGTTGTACTTCAATGTCATTCAACTGCATGCAGGTTGTTGCATGTTTTAGCGCCATTAATTTCTTTCGGCTCATGGAGTTTAAGCTGCAGTTTGTTGTCCCAGCTAACGCAGACTTGATCCCAGGTTACTCAGAGTTCTGTTCACTGGAACCACTTATGCTTTTCCTTCATAACTCTCCTGTACTAAAAGTTCTTACAATCAGCTATGTAAGTATAATTTCTCTCCCTCTCCCTCTCAAACAATTTTTTTTAAGTAAAACTAAATTTTGACCCGCACGTCCGTGCGGGTGTTTAAAAAAAACTATCTTATTATATAAAGCTTGGTTCCTCAAAGTTACTAATTAACACGATCGCGACACATGGCAAGTTATTAGTTAAGATTGTGACAGGTGTTAAAAAAAATTGTCCAAAAAAACATATTTTTCCTCTTTAAAATATTTCTACTCTCATAATGCTAATTTTTCTTTATTAAAATCCTAACTAAAAAGTTTAAAACGAAAAAAAAATCTTATCTTATAATAATTTTTTTTACAATTATCATGAATATAAAACGATTTTAAAAAAATAAAAAGGTCAAAACGAAAAAAAAGAATTTTATTATAATAAAACGTTTTTTATAATTTTTATTAAAATACGATTTTTTTAAAAATAATTTATTAAATAAGAAAAATCTTATTATAATAAAACAATTTTAAAAAAATTCCTAGTAATTTTAATTTTAACAAAACCTATTCCAAACCGAATGTAATTATCCTTTTTAAAATATAAACCTAAAAAATGGAAAAACTATTTTATGCTAATTGTCCTTTATAATAAAAAAGATAATTGTAAAAAAAATATTTTTCCTTTTTTAAATATTTCTACTCTCATAATGTTAATTTTCTTTTATTCAAATCTAATTAAAACTTAAAACAAAAAAAAGAAATATTAAATAGTCATTATTCTTTTAAAAAAACTTAGACGAAATAAATGTTAAATACTGATTAATGTTAATTTTCCTTTATTCAAATCCTAATTAAAAATATCATAATCCAAGAGGAACTATGATTATTCACATCTCTATATATAGAACTAAGATCTCTCATATTTGATCACTTCTCATATTTTATCACCAAGCATAATTATTGATTCAAGAAAAATATAAGGTGAAGTTCGATGTTCTTTTCTTCTTATAAAGTTATGGTTGATCGTTGTCATGATTATTGTTTGATCGTTGTCATGCTTCTGAGTTCTGTCTTTTTTTTTTTTGATCGAAACTTCTGAGTTTTGTTATTAAATATAATTTGTTTATTATATAGGAAAATACTATTCAAGGTTGTGTACAACATTTTCTAATTGAAAAGTTTGGAGATGGATTACATAAATGAGCCATTATTGAAATCTGCAATTTTAATATGCAAGATTGCAAAAATTACAAAGTTTCAGATCATAAATTTCAAATAAGATTGACTGAGAGAACATCAGTTGCATGTGTGGTTCAACAATTATCTCAGATACCGCTTGGAAATTTTCGATTTCAAAATTATGAAGATTTAGTTCAACTGCAAGATTCAACAAACGATTTATATGGTAAAATTCATATTTATATATATAATAAGATAGTATGTTTCTGTAATTGTAGCAATTTGGTTATTGAAAATTGTATGTTTCTAACAGTTGATTGGGTATGTTTCTAACAGTTGATTGGGTATATAATAAGATAGTATTATCTGTTATTCATTTTTTTAGTTTCATAGTAGATAATAAAAATGATTTTTGTTAAAAAGTAATTATAAATATTAAGTAATTTTCATTTTAAAATCTAAAGCAAAATATATTTGCAAAATCAATATGATAATAATTTTCTTTTTAATATTGCGACATGTGTAAGAATATTTCATGGATATAATATATATACTATGAAACTAAAAAATGAATTTCTGAAACAAATAATTTTTAAAACAAATAATTTCAAAATTATTTAATTTTAAATATAAATTTCAAAATTATTTAATTTTAAATATAAATTTCAAAATTATTTAATATTAGTTTTTAAGATAAATTCTTTTTTAAAAATCCTAAAGAAACAAATATGTAAAATAATTTTGTCTATTAAGTATGAAATTTTAAAAATAATATTCCATTGTAATTTTCTTTTTATTTTAAATTTTACATGTGTTAAAATATCTGATTTTAAGAAAATGAAAATTAAAAATTATGTAATACTATTTTCTCTACTTTTTTCTTTAGTAAAAATTTTCCATTTCTATAATTGAAAAAATAATTGATAATGAAATTTATAGATTTGCAATGATAATGCCAAGTTGACAATATTGTAAGAATGCTACAAACTGTGTTAATCTGACAACGGACAAATCCAATTCTAGACTTTTGGTAATATTATTTGAGTTTCTAATTTGACTGGGCTAGATTATGGCAAACTAAAACTAATTATGGTTATAAATTTTTTTACTCCTTTTACTTAATTATAATGAAATAAATATATAAAAAAAAAAATAAAAACAAAAACATTATTGACTATTTTAAAACATGAAGCAGAAAAATTAAAAATTATGTCAAAATAGGTTCTTAATTCAAATATGTGTCCCATAATATACACCTAAATTCTAAAATTGCTGTAAAAAAAATTCTCATTCTTTTTATGTTTTCATAAAATAAAAAAATCAAACAAACCCGTGCAACGCACGGGTCCATACCTAGTTCATACATAATTGATTGTATATATTTTGATGCTTACAATTTTTATAGTCTATATGCATCAATTTTATTAATTATGTTAAATTGTCATCTTTTTAGTTGTATATATATATATATATATATATATATATATATATATATCTTTATGGGTTTGAATTGAAATATATATATCTATACTATTATTTGGAAGTGATTTTTCGCAACGGAACTCTCACTTTAAAAGTTAAAGTGGTTAATATCTATTTTACCCTTAATGAAATTTTTATATATAACTAATTTTATAATTAAAAACAAATTTAAAAAATAAAATTAGATAAGTACAGTATGTTATTATCTTACATAATAAAGAATAATTAATATAATAAGTTTATAAAAAACAAAATAAGATAATTCTTACATATTTAATTATTATCTGAATATAATATTGTAACAACATGATAATGCTTATAGATCTTAATTTTATATAAAATTGATTTTGGCTTTTAAAAATAATATCATTATATTATAAAATTTAAAAATTAAAAGATAAAATCGATTTTAATTAAATATTAATCAAACAAAAACATTTATATAAAGATACTTTTAATTATATAATTAAATATTAGGTATTAAAAATTGGAACGGTTCAAGTTAATGATACCTTTAATGAAATTTATATATTAGTTAAAACCAAATTTATGTTAGTGATATAAATTTATATGTTATTATATTAGTTAATTTATTATAAATTAATAGGATAATTATCAACATTCATGCATATTTAAAACATAAGATATCTTATAGAATATTATACAATTATCTGAAAATAATCTTTTTATTGTGAAAAATAAAAATGAAAGTTATAAAACAATTTAAAATTAAACATGTGGATGATTTTCAACACTATAATAAGCATATAGATTTTGATGAAAAATCATATAAAAATATTTTAATCTTTAATTTAGGTTTTTTACAACTATAGAAAATAACTTATACTCTTATTTTAGAATTAATAAAACAAAAAATAATAAATATTCGTAAGAAAATTATGCCCGCATATGCGGACACAACACCTAGTGTATATATATAAATAAAGTGAATTGTCATTTATGTTTTTGTTTATATATTATTTAAGTAAAATTAGTTTATTATTCTTGCTTGTTGATTTTTCAGAATGTGGGTTATTACTCCGAGGATCTCCCACTTTCGTGGAACCAACAAAGTTCTATACCGGGATGCTTGTTGTCCCATCTCGAAATCTTTGTATGGGAATATTTTGGAGGAATAGGAAGACAAGAGAGAGAATGTGTGGAATACATCCTTGCAAACTCAAAGTGTTTAAAGACGGCGAAAATCACTCCGCTATGTTCCTACCGTCTCGAGAAAAAAGAGGAGATGGTGGAGGAATTAAAATCTATGTATAGAGTTTCAACATCATCTCAGCTGATAACCCATTCGGATCCTATAAATCCTGGAAGGGCAACCAATTAAAAAATAATAATATTCTTCTTTTCTGGACCTTTTGGTATGAACACACTTTGCTGATGTGAATAACTTTAATTCTCTGACATGCCAAAATACTAGCTTCATATTTTTTTTCGTCATCTTTTTCCATACTTTTGTTTTATATATTATGACTATTAGTGAGCAGATATTGTTTGATATTAAAAAGAAATTACTTTGATCAAAAAAAGAAGAAGAAATTACTTGTTTGCTTCTTTACCTTACACATGAATACATGATCCTTGATTTTGTTGTGTAGGGAGATTAATCTTTGGCTCTGAAATGAAGAAGCTTTCGTCAACTCTATTGATATTGTTATTCATTCTTGTTCGGACCTTTTACAGTAAAGCTAGGATAATCAACATGTACTCAGAATATAATATAATATTACAATTATTATTTTTTGAGTCTAACAAATAACAAAAAAATTTTCTGATAACCGTGGTTTTCCTTAATCTTTAGGGCTTTAGATTCCTGTAAAATGTTCGGCCTTTGTTTTCCGGTTAATCCGGCTTTGTAATGGATACTTTCTGTGTTAATACAAGTTTTAATTCAGTGAAAAGAGATGTATTTCCATTTTGGATAATGATGATTTTATACAAATAAAAACTGTTTTTCTTTTGTTCAATAAATTCAACATTCATTCAAAACAAAAAAAATATACAAGTAAACTAAACATAAAAAATCTCTTAAAAATATTATATGAATCAATATAATTAAAACATGTTCCATTTGTGTACTTTCCCTACATTTCTTTGGAATATTATTTTTATGTCATTATGGTTTTGCCTATAAACCATTTATATCATTACATCAAAAAAATACCAACTAGAGTAAAACCTCTATAAATTAATAATGTTGAGACTTTAAAATTTTATTAATTTATAGAGATATTAATTTACAAAAGTTTCTTTATTTAGATTTTTTTTTATTATTTTAAGATATATTTATTTTAAAATAAAAAAATATTTGATATTAATGTATAGACATTAATCATTATTTTGAAAAAAAATTGACATTTATATTAATTTTATTATATTATCTGGTATGTAATATATATTTCATAAAATTTAATGTGATTTTAGATATATATTACTAAATCTCATCAAAAACATATTATGTGTTAAGAAAATGTAAACATAATTCTATTGTGAATATAAAACATATATTTATATAAAATATGTATATAGAGAAATTATTAATTTATAATTTTAATGGGACCATATATTTATATAGAATATTCTAGAAAAGTATTTCTTATTAACTTATCGATTTGTGTCAAATTTTTAATCGGTTTAAGTTGGGACCGGTAAAATTTATTAATTTATAAAAATTATTAATTTATTGAGTATTAATTTATAGATGTTCTAATGTATATACTTTTCTAATGTTCAATCTACCTTTTTTTAGTGTTAATAGGGTGCATAGTTCGTCTCCTTTTCATCTGCCTATTGTTTTCCCACTATTATTTTGACACGTAAGATATTAATCTCTAGCTACTCTAGTTATTCTTCAACACCATAGTTACATATGATACATTAAAAATACGACATGATAATTGGGAATGAAAATAAACCGTCCATTACATTATGAGCTGTCTATTATTTCTTCCTTCTAACAGCGGGTTGATAATGTCTCTATAGTGCCAATGGAAACAAACACATAACAGAAGAAGTAAACAAATAATATTTAGTCTTGTTAATGTTAATGAACTCTGTAGAGATACATTAATAGATTATTTTACTATGGTTAAACAAATGAATACTTTTGAACTACATGTATATTAGAATAGTTTACCATATAAAATTTGTTTTGATACTGATTATTGAACCACCAACAAATAATATTTAGTCTTGTTAATGTTAATGAACTCTGTAGAGGGACATCAATAGATTATTTTACTATGGTTAAGGAAATGAATACTTTTGAAACTACATGTATATTAGAATAGTTTACCATATAAAATTTGTTTTAGATACTGATTATTTTACCGGTGGTTCACTGCTCTCGAGACATAAACTCTAAACTCTATCTAACAAACTCATGACCTTACATAATAAAACTCTAAAATATCTTTGTAACGATTTGAATATATTACACATATTACATACTACCAATATTAGATACTAACATTTTAGGGTGTCATAGCCGTTTGATGAAAAAGAAAACATTTTAGAGTGTCAATAATTCAGTAGTCAATGAGGTTAATTGATAATGGATGTAAGTGCTTTGGATAACATTTTTTCTTTCTCAACATTTCTATAAAACAATTATGCTTTGATTTTTATAAAAAAGCTATAGCAAAAAAAATTAGAACAATAAATTAGCTTTCAAAATTAATTTTCTACAATTTTTATTAAGTGTTTTGAAAATAAATCAACAATAAAAATTAAAAAAATTAAAAAACTTACATGCTATTTTTAAAGCAAAAAATTGAAGCTACATCATCAACTAACAACTCCAACGACTTGGTATACGTTTGTAAAATTTAATTAAAATATTTTTATTTATTTTTTTGATTGAATTTTACCCCAAAACTCCATATTCCAAAAATCTTACCACCCCTTCCCTCAACTCTGAATTTACATTAGTTAATTTTATGGTTATAATTTTTTTTTTCTTCTTTAATACTAAATAAGAGAAAAAGTGGTTAAAGTAAACATGTAAAATGATATTAAAAATGTGATATTTTTAATAATTTCTTTTGAGTTATTAAAAAAAAAGTTTTAATGAACATATTTTTTCATTAAACCTAAACTGAAGTATATATGGGTGATCGGATCTACCGATTTGACTACAAGTCTAAATCAATAAGAAAACACTGTCCAAAAATTAGAATAAAATAACTTTAAAATTATTTATTTTACAATATAATTTATAAATTCATATAAATTTATCAAACTATCCAAAAAATGTATGCGCTTTAATAAGACAGATCAAATTTTAATATTACTTTTATTATTATGATTATTATTATGATCATCTAAACTATTAAAAGGAGAGTATAAATAAGAAATATTTTTTAGTTTTCTTAAAAAAATACAATCTTATGCCAATGAAATTAAAACACTGTAGTTTTACTCTTTAAAATAAATTCTACACTTAATATTTTATGGGCTTGGTCTGTTAAATATAATTAAAGTCTAATCCATATATATTCTGATGAAAACAAAGTTTAAACATAGTATTTAAGTTAGTTCATAACCCAAAGAATCTAAACTAATAACTTCATTTAAATATCTTCTCATTTTTAATATTTTTCTAAACTTGGTTTCATTATTATTGTTTTTTGTCTACAAAATATATTTATATTTAAAAATCTCAATAAAAAATTTGTAAGTATTTTATATAGAAAAGTTATGACATTTTACCGTTTATTTTACCAAATAAACTAAATAAAGCACAATAAAAGAAAAATACAATCATGGATAACTTATGAATCTATAACATAAAAAGCATAAATAATTAAATTTATAGCACTGTTAAAAGTTTATGATTATGAAACTAAGTTATAATTATTATGTGAGAAAGCTAATAATCTCTCCTACTTTGTCGTGGTTTAATGAATCTCACCAATTTGGTTGATTAAGCCTGACCCGGTTCGCTTTTAGTAGTCAATCAATTGGGAGGATGATTGTTTGTAGTTTTTGATTTGGTTTTTGGTTTTTGTTTTTCTAAAAACCATTTTTCACCCAATCAAGATTTTCATAAAATGGATTCCCTAAAATATAGGGAAACTAGTTTTTACAAATAACTGTTTTTTGAACACAAAAGCCAAAAACCAAGTTTTTATAGTTTTTGTAAACATACGATGGGTTTTTCAAAAAAAAAATCAAAAACAATATTTTTTTTACAATATTTAGGCATTAATATAAGATAATAAGAAAAAGGATAATAGCTGTATACTAGTAAGAAGCATTTGCTTACACAATANAAACTAGTTTTTACAAATAACTGTTTTTTGAACACAAAAGCCAAAAACCAAGTTTTTATAGTTTTTGTAAACATACGATGGGTTTTTCAAAAAAAAAATCAAAAACAATATTTTTTTTACAATATTTAGGCATTAATATAAGATAATAAGAAAAAGGATAATAGCTGTATACTAGTAAGAAGCATTTGCTTACACAATATTAAAATAATTGATATTAATACCATTCTTTAAATTTGTCAATAAAATTAAATTAATTATTTAAAATGTTATTTTCTAAAAACTGTACTAAAAACTAAATTTGTCAAAGCTTTATTGTACTAAAAACTGTTATAATATTTAAAATGTTATTTTCTCTAATAATAAAACGATGTAAACTAAAAACGCATATAAAAATTTTAAATTTATTAATAAATTTAAAATTCTGAAGTTAGTCATTACAAAAAGATATATATATATATATATATATATATATAGATTACTGATAAATTTGTGGTATTATATGAAAGGCATTCACAATCAAATTTCTATATCTATGAGATTCACATTAGTTTTATTTAAAAATATTTTATTAAATAATTTACGTGTCCTTTTGATGATAGTACTTTATTTATTTTTTTATTCAAAAAAGTATTAATATTTTCTTCATTTGATTATTTTTAAAACCAAAAACCAAAAACCAAAAACTAAAATCTAAAACAACCATTCATGTTTTTTGAAAAACTAAAATCTACTACAAAATCAAAAACCAAAAACTAAAAACCAAAATCTAAAAACCAAAAACTAAAAACTAAAAACTAAAAACCAAAAACCAAAATCTAAAAACTAACAAAACAATCATCACCTGGATCTTTTGAAGAAAAAGAAAAAAAACTGTTGGTTCCGTTGAATCTCAAATTGGTTCGTTATTATACCGCCAAAGAGAAAGATTAAAGAAGTGGTCCAAGAAGAACGATCCAACACGCCCATGGCTTCCTCGAAGCATTCTTCTTCTTTGTCATCACTAAACCCAGAGCTACTCGAAGAAATATTCCGAAGGGCTCAGGCGGAAACTCTGATCCGGCTAAAACCAACTTGCATGCAGTTTAACTCTCTCATCTCCAACATTCGATTCATCTACGATCACTTTGATCACTCTTCAGAAAGATTCATACGAACCAATGATACCACCGTACGTATCATGGACCCGGTGACCGAAACACGCTCAGATACACCAATCCCAGACGAATTTCAAGAACCAAACAGAGTCCAACCTATCCTTCACTGCGACGGGCTCATTTTGTGTATCCGTCGTGATCACTGGCAAATCAACCAACCAAGACGCCCTCAGATAGCTATATGGAATCCTCTTTTGAGAAGAGTCAAATGGATCAATCCCTCGCAATGTTTGTCGCCTAACAGTGTCTACGGATTTGGATACAAGTCTCGAGAGGAAGGTTACAAGATCTTGCGGTTTTCCAATAGCTGGTTTAAGGTTCTTGAAGGTGAAACACAGGTTGAGGTTTATGAGTTGGAGAATAGTTCATGGAGGACTCTTGATCATGTCGAGGTTGATGTGAGAGTAGATAGCAAAGGTGTGGCTGTGATGGGAAACATGTATTGGTTGGCTGAGAATAAGAGCAGCATTCTAGGGTTTAGTTTCACTTCAGAAACATTCAAGGACGTCTGCTCATGTCCAGCTTTCTATTTCGGTGATAGTCGTTACTTGAGCTGTTTCCGTGAAGATAGATTGTCTTTGTGTGAGGGAGCTGAAGGAGAGGGTGTTACGTTCTCTACTTACGGCATTATTTATGAAGTTGAAGAGGGTGGGCTCAAAAACCAAACTGAGACTGAGACAGAACGAATCTATGGGCGTGTATGGTACCCCATCTTTTGTGGCCATGTGTATGCTCCAAGTTTGGTCCCTCTTCCTTAATCAGACGTGTGGATGGATGGGTGCTGATAAGAAATGTGAATAGGAAGAAAGATCGAGGGTATGTGTCACATTGCTTTTGGTTGTTGTCTTACCATCTTCTCAAGTTTTAGGTTTTTAGCCATGTGTGTATCATACTTGTTGGTTAAGCAAAACTAATGGAAAGAGCTTTCTGCCTGATTTTGCAAAAACAGTTGTTGTGTAGCAATTCATGAGATTATACAAAGCAATTTATGAGATTATAAAGTTGTTACTTAGTAAGTCATGAGCCGTTTTTGTTTATAAATACAGAGCAAAAACAACGTTAAGTATTGTCGTAAGTGCCTGTAATCTATAGTGTCACTGTTGGGATGATGATAGAGTTTAGCTATAGAAACTTCAATAGAATCACAATCCTCTGTGCCACAGTTATAAGGTAACACATCAACAACACCAGAATTTGATTCCAGTTGTACACTGAGACACGTATCTGTACTCTCTGAACTGATGGCAGACAAGCATGTATATGTGATGCAGGAACGTCCATAACATGAGATTTCTCTGAGGTTGGTATAGCTTCTTGTTCACAACTCGTGTCATGTACCACTTTGTTGCTGAGAATATCTGTCGAGGTGTGAGGTGATGCTTTCACACAACCAAGTTCTGTCTTCTTAGCACTCGTAGATACTGTTTCCTTGGGCAGTATCACATCTGACTGCAGCAAAGTGAGCAAGTAATCACTTCTTAAAATTTTGACCATTCTTTGGACCTTTCTTCATTGTACCAATCTAATCCATCTCCTTCTAGGCTCTCAGACACCAAGACAAGCTTAGCTGCTTCACAATCTCTATACACGACAAATCCAACCATAAGGCATGAAACCATCAAAATTCGGTAACTCACTATTCTTAACTTTTCCATCACCAATCTGGTTAACCTCAACAGAGCTCCGGTAACCTAACGATTCTGTCTTCAAATCATCAATTCCAAGTGGTATAGTTACCTGAGGATGAGTACTGGAACATTCAGAAACGCCTTTGACTTTTGATTCATTCCAAGGACGTAAGCTTTGCAACTGTTCTAAGCTTCTCTGAGTTTCTGTATTGTACTTTATGTTCTCCGGATCTTCAACGCTTCGCAACCATAAAGATTTCTTCAGTGCCTCCCAACTGTTGAACAACCACAATGATTGTCTCCACTGGAACCACAACATAGCTTCACCTTCCATGAAGCTTTGAGCCTTTGAGCGAAATTAAGTTTATCATCATCATCATCTGTGAAATCCTCCCGCAGAAAGAACTCCTCCAGCTGATCTAGACGCCAGCTGGTCGTCGAAGACGACTCTCTCTATTTATTCTCTGAGAAACCGCAAGCCCTCTACTTCACCAAACTTATCAGTTAAGTATTGTCGTAAGTGTCTGTAATCTATAGCCACTCTGAAACAGGGCCGGCTTATTCAGACAATGGGCCTTGTGCTCAAAAGAACAATTTTTAAAATTGTTATTATATTCTTAAAATTTGAAAATTAGGGCCCTAATTATGTATGTTTTTGATAAAACAAGGCCCTAGTTCTTTAAAGAATTTTTTTGAAAAAATGGAGGACCTAGTGCAAAAGCACTGCCAGCACTTGTGTAAAGCCGGTACTGCTCTGAAACGTAGCATTTTGTAACATGAGATTGTATAACTCCTAGTAATCAAAGCCATGGTCACCATTCATCAATATCAACAGGTGTCTCCATGGTTTTACCTCGAGGGCATCAACTGGGTTTGCTCTCTGGAGCATCATCATTGATCTCGATATCATCAACAGAAGATTTCTCTGTGGTTATAGGGGATGAGTCAAACGATTCCCTTGCCTTGACCATCTGAGCCATTGTTGTTGACTGCAAGGTATAAACAGGAAGAAGGAAATGAATCAAACTAATGAAACATAGGAATACTCTGAATCATCATTTTTGTGATTTTTTAATGGGTTTCAAGACGTGAACACAAATCACCACACTTTTCTCTGTAACAACATACCAATCTCATCTTGAGATCATCACTCATTACATTATAATTTCATTACTAAACGAAAGTACCTGATTGATTAAAAGTTGTTTTTGCCAAACTCCAGGAGAACCAATGACCATGATAGATCCTCCTTCGATCAAGTCTCTTCTGATCTCTGCACTTCCCGACACAGATCGACCCACTCTACGCGTTAAACCAATGATCTGCACTTTCCGGTTAGCTAATACGATCTCTGTTAATCCCTGACCGGTTATCATCCGAAAAATCACCAACCTATAATTAATTGAAAGTAATTCATTTGCTCAAGAAAAAAAAAAACATTTGATAAGTTAGTCTGCATATATGTGATAAGAGATTAAACACACTCCTTTGATACGGCAAGCTTCAGATCATACTGAGTAAAAATATATTTTTTTTTTTTGGTAAAAATGTAAAGATATTATTACCAATTTTTCAGATTTTTGATAGAGATACAAAGATAACAAGAAGCAGAAGAAAGAAAATAAAACTAAACATCAACTAAAACTAAACTCGAACTAGTCTAAGCAAAATAGACGCAACAAACAATAACCTGAAATCAGAGGCCTCAACTAAACCGCACAACTACTTGCCGCAAAAGGAAGAACCACAGTTAAACCGAGAGTCAGAATCCGGTAATTTTGGCCTCCCCGATGATCTGCTCTAAAAGATCTGGCCCGACCAAGAACAGCTCGCAGAAGACGACGATAGCATCCACCCACACGAAGCCAGCCACGCCGGAGGTCAAGAGCCCGCTTCAACAAACCGAGCATTTATTGAATAAAAAGATTACTAGGCACAGCCCAAAATCAATTGCAAACCAATCCCGAACCCACAGATTACTAAGCCGTCGCGGCCACACATGCAGTAGCACGCAAGATGGCCTTTTGAAATATTTTCATGCACACTAATTGCATTACCTGTGTGAATTTTCTTGTGAATCAATAAAAATAGATTTATTCTTTGGTTCACTATCCAATATGATGGTTTTATTTCATATTGGATATCTTTAAAAAAAAACCTTATTAAGTTATATTATGTTTTTAAAATAAAAATCGAAAAATAAATAAAATAATAATATTTTAAAAAATGAAAAAAAATCTTTTAAAAAATATTTTAACATTATATTATGTTCTTAGAATATAATGTTAAAAACAGTAATAATTGCAAAAAAACAATTTAAAGAAAAAGATAAAAAAAAACATTGCAAAAAACAATTTAAAAAATATTTTAATATATCTTTAAAATGAAAACAAAATATTTTTTACATTTATTGGTTAGTAATAATTTTATTGATTTAATGTTTAAAATTTTTCTAAAGGGTTTATGATTTACCCAAGGGTTTAAGGTTTACGATTAGAGTTTAGGGTTTACTGTTTTAGTGTTAAAACATTTTTCAAAAAAACTGATGTTTTGACAAAAACATATTTTCATACACACTAATTACATTACCTTTACACATTTGTGTCGGTTTTTGCGTGGATCAAAAAAAAATGATATCAATAGAAACTGTATAACCTCAGTTATTATATTACTAGGTGATTTTCCCGTGCTCATGCACGAGTATAAATATTTTTAAAGTAAATATATAATAATAATTGATTACTATTTAGTTTTAATTTTAAATTAATTTATAATTTGTATGCATCATTTATATTAATAATATTATTTTAATTTATTTATACTGTAATTTTATATATGTTATATCTAGTCAATTTTGTTGTTTTTACGGTTGATTTAGTTATCATTTGGATAAATTGTTTTTTTTAATCCAACTGTAATATCTAATTTTTAATTAATTACTTATTTGCATATAGTGGGTGTTGTCTTAGATATGTAAATATATTTTTGGAAAATTATGTATAACTTAAGATATATTGTACTTAGAATGAATTAAAAATTAACTAAAGTGTCTGATTCCAAAATACGTAAATTAATATAACGATAATATTCTAAAGTCACATGCATATATATAAATTTTATAAATAACTAAAATTGTAAGAGTTGATTAATATTTATTTTCATTCGTTAATATGTTTTGAGTTTTCTGATGATCAATAGAAGGTTACATGCATAAGTAGTTGATACATTTTTGGAAGCTCATGAACACATATCAATATTTACAACAATTAAAATATTTATAAATTCTAAATAACTTTATGCTTTAGATTTAATGAATATAAACTAAAACTTATTTTAAATAATCTTAAAATTGGGAATTCAGATCTGCTTTGGTATTTCTATTATGGTTATATTTAGTTTCACAAACATAAAAACATAAAATTTAATATTAAGAATTTTTTTTTAATAATGATAAAATATCATATATCTAACTCATTAAATTAATTGTTAATTATTTTATCAAGCGATATTTATTATTAAATTTATTTTAAGTTTTTAATATCTCTTAAAAATAAGCACTGCACAAAACTGTAATTATATTTGAAAATAATATTATATAGGTAAAATATAATCTATAGGTAATTTTCTGTAATTGAAAGATATTAGAGTCAACTAAATAAACAAAAAAATCAATAATACTAATTATAAACTATTTTTATTACTCTAAAATTATATTTTATGTTATTTAAAATATTTTAAATGTATTATTATTATTATTTTGTAAACTTTCCTTTTTTATGAAATCATATTATATATACATATATTTTTCGTTTCAACTTTTTTTTGTGACTTTATAAAAATTTCCTTTTTATTACATATATTTTTGGAAATTTTCGAAAAGGAAACTAAATAAAAGAATGAATAATATTATTTTTAACTGTTTTTAATTCATTAAGGGTACCAGTGTAATCAACCATCGTGAGAACGAACGTGAGAGCGCCACATAAGAAACTGACTTCTCAAATAATATTATAGAGATTATTTTTGAACAAAAACCCCAATAATTTTGTTTTTCTTTACTTTTTGGGATAAAGATGTATTTCTAATTTAGATAATGATGAGTTTATACACATAAGCAAATTGTTAAAAAAAGGAAATTTAAGAAATATTATATGAATGAAATTTCATAAACTTCTACTTTATCAAGATTAATTAGGGTTTTCTTCTTCGTGCAGTTTGTTCTGAGAGGGAAAACAAAAAAGAATGCCTCGCATAGACGGGATAAGTGCGTTGCATGACGATTTGCTGTTGAAAATACTGTCTCAAGTCCCAACAAAAGACGCCGTGACAACCATGGTTTTGTCCAAAAGGTGGGGTTTGGTGTGGACGATGGTGCCTAAACTTGAATACAAGGATACAAGCAAAGAAGGGGGAAAGAGCCTTTGGTGCTTGCTTGACAAGTCTTTGCAACTCCACAAAGCACATGTACTAGAAAGCTTACATATCCAAGTTGAACGCCAGTTTCCCGACGATGCAGATGTTGGAAAGTGCGTCTCTTACGCTGTTGACCACAACGTTCGAGAGCTAGCTCTTATTTTACCATCTCAACCAAAGAGCCTTCTACTACCATCGAACGTTTACACCTCCAAAACGCTAGTGAAACTGACTCTATCATGTAGTACTCTCGTCCTGGATGTTCCTTCCCTAGCTTGCTTTCCTTTGCTTCAGACGCTGGCCCTTGTCGATGTTGTGTTTAAAGATGAAAGTTCTCATGTTAGGCTTCTATCGAATTGTCCTGCGCTCAGTTATTTGCGTGTGCACCGAAGGGGGGGTGACAATGTGACAAGGTTCATTGTCAAAGTTCCTTCTTTAAAGAGTTTTAAATACACGGATTTGTACGAAAGATATCCGGCTATGCCCTTGGTTTTAGACTCCCCTGGATTACGACACCTTAGTATAGCTGATATCCAGAACATGCCTCACCCTCACCGTAAGACGGCTTATGTTGGTCACTTTGTTACTCAGCCAAATGACAAGTTTCTGACATCTTTTTCCTCTGTCAGGAATCTCCATTTGAGTTGGACGAACGTAACTATTTTTTTTTAGTATCCTTCTTGTTCTTATATGTGATGAGATCTATTTGATGTGTTATGCTTATGTTGTAGTTCAATGTCATTCGACTGCATGCAGGTTGTTGCATGTTTTAGCGCCATTAATTTCTCTCAGCTCATGGAGTTAAAGCTGCATTTTTTAGGCACACCTAACCGAGTGCTGATCACAGGTTACCCAGAGTTATGTTCATTGGAACCACTTATGCTTTTCCTACATAACTCACCTATACTAAAACAGCTTACGGTCATCTATGTAAGTAGCTCCCCCCCCCCCCATGTCCCTCAAACAATATATTAGTTTATAGTAAAATTAGTTTATTATTCTTCCTTGTTGATTTTTTCAGGATGTGTGTTCTGAATTCGACGATCCCCCACTTTTGTGGAACCAACAAAGTTCTGTACCGGGTTGCTTGTCGTCCCATCTCGAGATCTTTGTGTGGGATATGTTTGGAGGAATAAGAACACAGGAGAGAGAATGTGTGGAGTATATCCTTGCAAACTCAAAGTGTTTAAAGACGGCGAAAATCACTCCGCTATGTTCCTACCGTCTCGAGAAAAAAGAGGAGATGGTGGAGGAATTAAAATCTATGTATAGGGTTTCAGCATCATCTCAGCTGATAACCCATTCGGATTCCACAATTAATCCCTGAAGGGCTACAACTTGAAAAATAATTCTCTTCTTCTCAGGACCTTTTGCCATATTTTCATTTTAGATATGACTATTCGCAAGCAAAATATTGTTTGAGATTAATAAAAGGTGGTTTGTTTGATGCTTTACCTTACACATGATCCTTAGATTAATCTTTGGTTATGAAATGAAGACTCTTTCTTCAAATCTATCATCTCCTAGCTTGCGGATTGATTTATCATAATAAACAAAAAAAACTCGGTTGCTAGAAAACAGATGGAGACGCTTCGTTGATTCCGGCTTAACATTGTTTTTCATACCTTGGAATTATATATGCACTTACTCAAAAGAGTGATTGATAGTGTTATTCATGCTTGCTCGAACCTCTTATCGTAAAGCTAGGAGAATCACCATTTTTTTAAGTCTCTATCCGCCAAAGTAATGTAATTTTGGTTATTGTCTTACAATCTTCTCAAGTTTTAGGTTATGAGTCTGTCATACTTGTTACTCTTAAAACTAATGGAAAGAGTTTTCTGCCTGATTTGGAAAAAAAGTTGTTATGTAGCAATTCATGAATCGTTTCTGATATATAAATACAGAGTAAAAACATACATATCAGTAGCAATGACCAAAGAAACAAAGAGTAAAAACATACATATCAGTAGCAATGACCAACAACGTTACCATATTATTTACCAAGACTTATAGTGAATGTACAATGTTTAAGAGTGTCTCCAATGTATACAAGGATCAATATGCCAAGTCAGAGATGTCCATCCTTGAGGAAAGGAAGACGAGTAACTGTATTCCCCATACTATCATCTCCTGCTTTCTTTGCGGATGAAGATGGCAACATTTTTTTGGTGGACCGACGAGGAAGTATCTGAAGACGTGGATTGAGATGAGTGCCAAGATTCTCCACCGTGAGTTGATAACTCTCTACCAGCTCTAGCTGCCGGACTATTATGTCTGACCGTCTAGGAAGAAGCTCCACTGGTTCACCTCCTGGGATGACAATGTATTCTATTGCTAGACGCACCTCCTGTGTTTCAGAAACAGAGATATTAACAGTAAGTATTCTCGTTAATGTCCCTACTCTATAGTCATTGTGAAACGTATTGAACCTTCAGTAAAGTAACATGAGAATGTATAAATCCTAGTGAACTAAGAGATGGTAGTTTTACCTCGAGGGCATCAAGTTCTTCTAAACTGGGTTTGCTCTCTGGAGCATCATCATTGATCTCGATATCATCAACAGAAGATTTCTCTATTGTTATAGGAGCTGAGCCAAACGATTCTCTCCCAAGGATCATTCGGACTGCCTTGACCATCTGAGCCATTGTTGTTGACTGCAATGTATAAACAGGAAGAAGGAAATGAATCAAACTAATGAAACATAAGAATACTCTGAATCATCATTATCATGAGTCATGCAAGAAGAAGGATACCTTGATGACAAATATTGGCAGCTTGTGTAATTTAGCAACACGACGGATAGATGGATTCTGTTTCAATTCCGAACTTGAGGCTAGAATCACATCTGCTTCTCCAACATCATCTGTCACTTCTATGTCGTCTTCTAGTCCCATCACTTCGGCTACTTGAAGGAGATCAGCTTCAGCGACCTACATGACAGTAAGATAGTTAGTGTCTTTGGCTTTTTTAAGATCAAGATTAATTTCCAAGGGACAGATAAGAACTGATTTTTTACATTGTAAGTATAAACATGAACCGGTGAAGTTCTTTGGCTCATTGATAGGTTTCTGCTAGTCTTCTTATACCGAGTGGGAAGAATGTCTTCTTCATCTTCGTCGTCAGAGAGCACTTCACTAGCAAAATCTATGTTGAGCAATGGTGCAGGCTCCTCTTCAAGGTTCTCCAAAGGAATGGGATTCACTAGCTTATGAGGAACATCGTCTTCCCCACGGATTTGACGGATCTCACATGGAGCAGATTTCCCTATAATAACAAAAAGTTTGTTCCAGTTTTCACTATGTTGGGGAAACTGATTTACGTTAACTTACCAGCTAGTATAGCATCCACAGTGACGTCTAGCCTTTGATGAACACGGCACTCGGTTCTAGATATCATCTCTACAGCACAAGTAAATGTTGGTGGTCCTTTTCTTTCAAGTATTGTCTTCTGCACTTTTCGTTTCCTTGCTTCTTCATCACCAAGAGTCACACTCTGAGTAAAAAAAGTCAGTATCGTATCTTATAACATAGAGAGCAAAAAAAGAAGAACCGAAGTCTACGGTCACAAACCTCAATACCACCGATAAGGATCTGCAAAGAAGGATTCTTGATTATGTTATCAATAGTCATCCCATGAGCAGTTGCAACAAGCTGGACTCCTCGCTGAGCAATAGTGCTAGCAGCTAATGCTTCAAGCTCTGTTCCTATCTCATCGATAATAATAGTCTCAGGCATGTGATTCTCAACCGCCTCAATCATAACCTGTGTAAGATTTTTTTCCCATGAATACACACAACATATACTCTTATTATTACAAAGGTCAAGAGTCCATAGACTTACATCATGCTGCAAATTCACATTTGGAACTTGCATCCTCCTAGCACGACCGATTCCAGAGTGAGGAACATCGCCATCACCACCAATCTCATTTGACGTGTCAACAATCACCACACGTTTCCTGTGTTCATCAGCTAACATCCGTGCGATTTCTCTGTACAAAGCCAACCAACCAACCAAGTCACATAAACATGTAACGGTCACAATCTCATCTTGAGATCATCACTCATTTACATTAACAAGTTCATTACCAATGCGGATCTAAATCAACACACCTGATTAAAGTAGTTTTGCCAACTCCAGGAGAACCTATCACCAAGATGGAACCTCCACCTTCTATCAAGTCTCTTATGATCTCTGCACTTCCAGACACAGCTCTACCCACTCTACATGTTAAACCAATTATTTGCAGTTTCCGGTTACGTATAGCGCTAATACGATGCAACGATCTGTTAATCCCGGACCGGTTATCATCCGAAAAATCACCAACCTAAAATTCAAAATCTTCTCATCAGCTCTAATTTTATTACAAAGAAAAAACGTTTTCTGTAACTGTAAGATCATAAAGCAAAAGTAGTTATAAAAGCTAAAAACATTTTGATAAGTGAGTATGCATGTGATAAGAGATCAAAGACACACACCTTTGATACGGCGAGTTTCAGATCATGTTGCGTCACAGGCATCTCTGAGATCACCCAATCACCGGAAGGGAATCTAGCAAGTGGCTTTCTCCCCAAATCCATCACCACTTCGATCAATTCACCGATCGACTCGTGCTTGACGAGCTCCTTCCTCGTCGCTGGAGGAAGGATCTCGAGGAAAGCGTCGAGCTCCACCGTAGGAGGAGGAGACGGTAGGTTCCGAGATGTGGAGTTTTCTGAATCGGATGAAGGTACGAAGCTGAATCCATCGGAAGGTTTTCGTAGTGGAGACGGTGAAGCCGGAGATTTTGAAGATGCGATTCTCTGACGCGCGCCACGTGTTCGACGGAATGAGGAGGAGGAGGGGGAGGAGAAAGCGGTTGCGGTGGCGGAGATCAACCGTCGCGATGCTTGCAATGAGCTGTTGATGTCGATCAGAACTAGCCGTGAATTCAACGCCCTCATCACAATTTGTTTTTTTTTTTCTAAATTTAAATTAAAATAATGAAATTAAAATAAAAGATTCGCTTTTCGTTTTGAGATTCGCGAGTTGGTGTTGGAGTTCTGAAAGCAGGAAGAGAGGTTACTAAAAAGAAAAAAAGCTAAACGAGAACGACGACGTTTGTGGTTTACTGTTTAGTTTTTGCTTCTTGTTTGTTTTTTCAAATATGATGCGTGGAGACTGAAAATAGTGGAAGATTCCAAAGGATCAAAGCATCTCTTCATGGAAGCTGCATCTGTAATTGAGCAAGCAACGTAGGGGGGGGGGGTCCATTGTGGAGGGAAAGATAACATTGCTGTTTCGTTAAGTGGTTTAGGTGACGACACGTGGAGAGTTAGACTATCTTGTTGACACGTGTCTGGTGCTGGAGCTGCCGTTTGATTGCTAATCTTCAGGGGACTCTTTTGACGGATGTAAAACCAAACTGAAGTGACGGGTTTGGTGTTTCGCAGTCGCACGGTAGATGAAAAAACTTGTCAACTTTTTGGTTCTGCTAATTAAGATTTGACCCAACTTTGAAGACTAGATTAAACCGAACAAAAAAACAAACTAAATTAGTGAAATCAAAGTTATGAGACGATTCATAATCCTTCTCATCTTCGTTTACTTCTGTGCTGTTTTAATGGGCTTATGTTGCTTTTAGTGATGGTATGGGCTTTGGATCTTCTGATTGTGTCCATTTGATTAAGAATGTACCCTTTTAATTAAGATAATGTAGAGGATTAGCCCATTAAAGAGATTGGGCCCACTTATGTTTTAAGTTATTATAATAAAGCAACAAAAGTCGAAGTTTGCAACAACCGACCTTAGCTCAGTTGGTAGAGCGGAAGACTGTAGTGGGTTCTCCCAAAGAAATCTTTAGGTCGCTGGTTCGATTCCGGCAGGTCGGATATTCTTTTTTCTTTCTCCTCTTATTTTTATGGGACCCACACCCACCCATCTTTTTGCTTCACATACAACTCGCGTGCCGAAACCGTTGATTAACCCAGACGTTATCTTCGCGTAACAGATCACTAACTATTTTCCTCAAAATTCCCAAATTAACCCCAAACTTCGCGGGCACGTTTCAATTTTTTCGACACTTTCTTCCCATTGTCTACACCTTCTCCCTCACTCATATACAATCTCACAAACACGAGAAACCACACTTGAGAAAGAAGAAAAAAAACAAACGAAAAATGGAAAAACTGACTCTCCTCTCGCTTCTCTTGCTCTTCGTCGTCTTCATCGCTAGTTCAACTCCGTCATCTTCTAGTATTTTGCACGATCGCAGCTTCGAGATACCAAACTTGCCTTCATCGCGAGCCGAGAAGCTGATCCGTGAGCTAAACCTATTTCCGAATCTCGACGTGAACGTGATCGAAGTTGATGATGATTCGACTCTTACTTCCGAGGAGGCACCTTTGCTTGTGGAACGGAGGTTCATATTCCCGAATATTCTTTCCGATGTCGGTGCCCCTTCCCTCGAGGAATTGGCTCATCGTGCTGGTTACTACAAGCTCCCCAAATCTCAAGGCGCAAGGTTTAACTAATTAAGCTCTTATTTTTTAGCAAAAAAAAAAAACACTAATTAAGCTCAAGAGGTTGTTGTACATTAGTATATGCTTCATTTAAAAATTTGCCGCTAGATCTTTTGATTAAAATGTTTGTTCCCTTATGTGTTTTAGGATGTTCTACTTCTTCTTCGAGACACGTGGCAAGAAGGATGCTCCTCTTGTGATTTGGTTGACGGGAGGGCCTGGATGTAGCAGTGAATTGGCTATGTTCTATGAGAATGGTCCTTTCAAGCTTAATCAGAACATGTCTCTTGCTTGGAATGAGTATGGTTGGGACCAGGTATTGCCTTATAATATCTCTTATCCTTGTAATGTCTTCTACGCCGTGATTAGGGCTTATGGATTTATAAACATTAAGAGACAGTAAATCATCATTGACATCTCCTTGTTGTTATTCAAGCTTTAAGCTTTAAACAGTTACAATCTTATCACTGATCCTAAACTATCATTATCTTTGCAGGCTTCCAATCTCCTGTATGTTGACCAGCCTGTTGGAACTGGTTTCAGCTTCACCACTGACAAAACTGATATCCGTCATGACCAAACCGGAGTTGGCGATGATCTCTATGATTTTCTACAGGTCTGTCACTAGAAATTGCATCCAAGCTTTGATTTTATTTAGCTGTAACAAGATAGTGATTATGTTTCCTCATGGTTACCTCAGGCTTTCTTTGAGGAGCACCCTAAGATGGCAAATAAGGACTTTTACATAACTGGAGAGTCATATGCTGGGCATTACATTCCTGCTTTTGCTTCCCGGGTCCATAGAGGAAACAAGGCTAATGAGGGGATTCATGTTAACCTTAAGGCATGTGACTGTTTTCCTTTTTTGTTTCTCTGTCTGTTAATGTGTTATTGGAAGGTTTGTACTCACAAGTGTAATCTTGTAGGGAATCGCCATTGGAAATGGGCTTACTGATCCTGCATATCAATACCCAGCCTATCCTGAATATGCGTTAAAAATGGGTTTAATTACTCAAAAAGAGCATGATCGTTTAACAAAGATTGTCCCACTCTGCGAACTATCAATTAAGCTTTGTGGTATTTCCTCTAATTTTCATATTCAAGTTATGTCTTCTAGTTAGCTCCATGTGTTTTGATGGATCCTGAATCCATGTCTTTTCAGGAACTGATGGAACAACTTCTTGTTTGGCGTCATATCTTGTTTGCAACACCTTGTTCAGCGGTGTAATAAACCATGCTCATGGAGTAAACGTAAGCCCTACTGTTTGTTTTTCATAGCTAATTAAATTTGCATATGATATTGTTTCTAGCAACATCATATGAATAAATGAAACGTTGAAGAAACCATTGCTATCCACCAGAGAAGCTAACACTTGCAGATTAGCAATTCTTTTAACTCTTTCTTCATCAAAAGTAGTGATAAATTGACGCAAGTTTTGTGTAGTATTACGACATAAGGAAGAAGTGCGAGGGAAGCATGTGCTACGACTTCTCAGACATGGAGAAATTCTTGAACCAGAACTCGGTGAGAAAGTCGCTTGGTGTTGGGGAGTTAGAGTTTGTCTCCTGTAGTAAAAGTGTCTATGAGGCAATGCTACAAGACTTGATGAGGAATCTCGAGGTTGGAATTCCCACGCTTTTGGAAGATGGAATAAACCTTCTTATCTATGCAGGAGAATATGATCTCATCTGCAACTGGATCGGTGAGTTCCAAAATTATAAACATACAACTGTTAAATGTATCAACTTTTGGACATGATACCTTGATTTTGGAGCAGGTAACTCGAGGTGGGTGAATGCAATGGAGTGGTCAGGGAAAGAGAACTTTAAGGCAGCTAAGGAAGTTCCCTTTATGGTTGATGGTAAAGAAGCAGGCAAGTTGAAGAGTTATGGACAACTCAGTTTCCTCAAGGTCAGGCTTTTCTTACATAAAACCAGTCTTTCTTTGTTTATGCTGATACTATAAAAGACAAAGAGTTGTTTGATGATTTAAAATAAATAAATAAACAGGTGCACAATGCGGGACACATGGTTCCAATGGACCAGCCAAAAGCTGCGTTGAAAATGTTGGAAGGATGGATGAAGAAGTCGCTTAGTGCAGACGAAGATGCTATAGCTACTACAGAAGAAGATGATCTGGTTGATCAGATGTAATAGCATTAAAACAAAGAAACAGTGTGGGTTGTGTGTTGTGTAAACACGCTTTACGTTTCCTTCTGTAATTTGATCTCTAAAAGAAAACTATATTGTACAGTTTGTTAAACTCAAACTCTTGTGAAACAAGAAAAACATATCCTAAAAGAAAATAAGGTTGACCACTAGTACACTTACTACAGAAATAGATTCCAATTTGAGGCCGAATTCAATCAGAACCTGGTTCAATGCGGTTAAATCGAGTACTATAGAACACTCTTGACTTCACGTTTTCTATGTTAGGGGTAAACAACACACCCCACCATACAAACACAAAGCTCAAGCAAAAGCAAAAACTCTGCATCAATGATTCAGCTCAAGGGATTGCACAGCAACTTGTGGAAGATTTAAACTTTTACGCTAACCATCCTGTTTTCAATTTTCAATTACTCTTTCCATCTTTGGCTCTCATGTTTATGCTATGTACAGAATATATGATCACACGATCGTATGGGAAGCGGGTAACCACATAACAGACTGACCTGAAGAGACTGAAAGTTTGTGACTTCCAGCTCTTATCGAGTACTTGCCTCGGATCTGCTTCTTCCCTGGCTTGAAAGGAGAAGAGTTGATGATGTTCATTGATGCATTTCCAGAAACTGGTACCTTCCTCATATACAAAAGTTACTTTAAGAAACAAAAACAGTAAAGAATTCAAAGCATATCTTTAAAAAAAAAGCTTTGTGGATCAAATGCAGGCTAGAACAAGCTGTGTTAGCAGCTTATGGTCAAAACCTGTCTCAGAATTAATAGAAGAAATCATGGGTGATCAGGAGTTGATGGTTAGTAAAAATCTCCAAAAAATGTTGCACCAAAGTCGCTAGTTTCAGCTACTGTCTTCAATACTGACACATAATAAAACAATCAAAACACGTCTTCTCTAATACAGACCGGTTTATACTAAGGATGAACAACAGGACAGCTTTGGAGTTTCTCAAGTTTCCTATATAAGTTGGCAATACAGATCGTTTGCAGAATAATGTAAAGTTAGAATCAAGAACTTAAATCTAGTCACTTGGATAAACATGAGTCATCATATAGCTGATATTCATTGATGAACAAAGATGTAATCTTCAAATCAACAACTGTAAAGAGTTGTCTTTTTTCTAGTGATCCACACTCAGGGATCAACCTTGTTACTGAGTTTTCATCAATTTTCATCATCACTCTCATCACTAAAGTAACTAACTTTCTTCCCTTCACCCTCCTTCCTCTTCCTCCTCCTCTCTTCCTCTTCCTCCGCCTCTCTCATCCTCAGCCTCTCCCCAGCTTCATTATCCACCACAGAAGCCCAATTATCCTCACCAAACCCCTCCTCCATCACCTCCTTCCCCGACCAATCTCTAGCATCCTCACCCTCACCCTCTCCTTCCTCCTCCTCCCTCCTCCTTCCCCTTTTCTTCGGAGGCGGCGGTCTCTCCCTAGGCCCCAACTGATTCCTCGGACACTCATACGAAAGATGCCCTTCCTCTCCACACTCATAACACCTCGACTTATCCTTATACACTCTCTTCTTTATAAACTCAGACGCTCTCCCGTTATCCGCGGCGATCGAAACCGTCAGCTTCCTTCCGTTGAGGATCTTCCCTTCCATGGATTGCGCCGCTTTCGCCGCGTCGTCGCGCGAGACGTAGAGCACGAAGGCGACGCCGCGGGATCGGCGAGTGTTGCGGTCCTTGAGGACGGTGACTCGAGCGACTTTTCCGAAGGTGGAGAAGAGGGTGTGGATGTCGGAGTTGGTTAGGGAGAAGTCGAGGTTTGAGACGTAGAGCGTTGATTTGGAAGGGGCTAAGCCGCCTGATCCGGTGGGAGCTGGGGGTTTTGAGGAGGAGGAGGAGGAAGAAGGTTTTGTGGGGTGTGAAGGTGGTGCTGAGACGGAGGAGTAGCGGTAGTAGAAAGTGTCGTCTTCTTCATCGTCGTCGCTGTGGTGAATCTTCTTCTTCTTCTTTGTCTGAACCATTCTCTTCCACTTTCTTACACAACTATTGGCTTGGTTTGGTTTGGTTTCTCGAAAACAGACGGAGGAGAAATAAAAAGCGACTGTTTTAGTAAAGGGAAAGCCCAAAGGCCCAGTTTCTTCTGTAAAGCCCATACAGCCCAATATACATCTCGCTCTGCCCCCAACATGAGCATATATCGGAGGGTTTTTTGGTTTTCATGTGTATGAGTGTATCGTTATCTAATAATTTTTTCACATCTGAGAACTTATCAGTTATCACGAATCTGTTACAGACGAATGATTACATAGCTCATAGCTGTGCGGTTTTTGCTCACTTTGGCATAGTGTCATACACGAGCAAATGGTTTCGATGAATAAGACGATGATGCGTATTGAGAGTCTAAGAGTACATTGAAACCATTTTGGATGTTCATTTTGGAATGAAATTAGAATTATGTCAATCCTAGTCACATGAACATTTAGAAGAGTTTTCTATGTTTTACACTAAACTCAAAATGCTAATTATATATATTTTGTTATGAATTCATGTAATGCGCATGTACACAGTATAGTATAATCTTCTTTCACTCTCGCTAGAATCCATGAAACGTATTATGCATGTACTGGTGGTGTGTTGACATACTTAAGAAAATGTTGCCGTCAAAACAAAAATAATCTTCTTTTCACATAATTAACTTTTTATCAAAACAAATCGGGGAAAAAATCAGAAAAGAAGGAAAAATACTTAGAAAGAAGAAAAGTCTGGGGGGAATTAGAAGAACAACGCGTGCAGATTATTTGCTTTCTTCACACCTCTCAAATTTTCTCGAGATTTAGATATTTTCCTCGGTGATCGGCGACGCACTGTTCAGATTCGAGGTATTTGAAAACTCCATCCACCATCTCCTTCCTCAATTTCGCTATCTAGATCTACTTCTTCCTCACCTAAGTGTGTGATTCGTAATCTCGATTCCTGTAAACGCCGATAGCTGTAATTCGATGTTATATCTTTCTCTGCTCATCGTTAGATCTCTCGCTGATGATTGAACGTTTATCATCTCTTCTCCCGAACTTGAATTCTACGTCTATTAGCTTCTTTGTATTTAGTTTGTTTCGAAATTGAATCGTGATTCGTCGTCTCTAGCTTATGTATGTGTAATCTACAGATTAGCTTTGATTGGAATGTGCTGAGGAGCGCTCATTATGGGGATTTTCGATGGTTTGCCTGTTCCCTCTGATAAAACTGTAAGTTCCATTTTCTAGCTCATCCTTAAAAGGAGGAATCGTTCGGTTCAACGATTTATAGAGACGTTAAGTGTGTGACGTGTCAGTAGTTTTCTTAATTGGAGTTAATTGGAAGAAGTGATTGATACAAAGGATACATAGGAAACAGAATTTGAGTTATCACTGCTCTTGATTTTGTTTTTTGGAGTACATGTGTATGTGTGTGTGTGTGCCTGAGTGATGAGGGTTATTGCAGTACCTTAGGGAGGAGCTGGCACGAATAGATGAGAGTTGGGCTGTTGCACGTTTTGACTCTTTGCCGCATGTGGTTCATATCCTTACGTCTAAAGACCGTGAAGCTGACATTCTTTTATTAAGGGAGCAAAGTGATGTTGTTGAGGAGGTTGTGGATGAAGTTGTCCATGCTTATCATGGTGGTTTCAACAAAGCTATTCAAAACTACTCACAGGTTTCTTATACTGATCTGTTAGCTCTTCCTTTTATTGGCTAGAGTAGAGCTTTTGTTTCCTCTAAAGCAACAACCATATAATTTGACGTATGATATTCCTCATTAGATCTTGCGACTATTCAGCGAGTCCACTGATAAAATAGGCGACTTGAAGCATGATTTGGCAGAAGCAAAGAAGAGCTTGGGGACACGCAATAAACAATTACACCAGTTGTGGTACCGTTCTGTAACATTGCGGCACATCATCGCACTTTTGGATCAAATTGAGGGCATTGCTAAGGTTGGTTGGATTACCCCTAACGTTTCTTAGTTGATTCTTTTGTGAACAGTGCTTGCTATCTATTTACGCTGCTCTGAACTTTTATACGCCATTCATGATAGCTGTCTGTATTTCTGAATATACTTTTGTTAATATTTGTCCATTATTTATACTTTTTGGTTTTTAAAAGCTACTGCTTTTCTGATGTGACAATGTTGGTTCTGCCTCTTGAAACATTGAACAGGTTCCATCACGTATTGAGAAGCTCATTGCTGATAAGCAGTTTTACGCTGCGATTCAAGTGTATCTCCAGTCTTCTCTGATGCTTGAGCGTGAGGGGCTTCAAACGGTAATTTCCAATGCTAACAAATGCTGGAAAAGCAATCTTACGTTAACTTTTTGGGTCTTCCCATTCATTTGTTAATTTGAAATCTAGGATCGTTTTGATATCTATCCGTTGAATGGGATCTATTATCGTCTAATTTCCACCGGGACCTTCTGATTGTCCCTGTTCGAGAGATCTACTGTTCACTTCGATCCTGTACTCATATATATTCTGGTACGTTCACCTAGGTTGGTGCTCTTCAAGATGTCAGATCTGAGCTAGCTAAGCTTCGGGGAGCCCTTTTCTTCAAAATTCTAGACGATTTGCATGCACATCTATACAATAGAGGAGAATACAGGTAGGTCTCTTGTCAGCTTGTATAAACGAATTTATGAAGCTGTGCTACTTTTTTTACATGGTTCCAATGTCCTGCTTGCTTGTTAGTGGGCCTCATCACTTCTATCATGCACATTAGTCTGTTCTTGACCTTGTCTATGTTGCAGTTCAGTTGCGTCAAGCATATATGAAAGAGATGATGAAGTACCAACAACAACAGCTGTTGCAGCTAGTCGAATGAGCTCACAACCACTCTCTCGTAGAACACGGACACTGAAAGGTGATAGTCAGTTTGGTGTTAGAGGGCTCACAAACGGTTCACATATAACGGCTTCTACTGAGGAAGGGTATGATTTCGCAACATTTCCCTTAAGTTGATTCTGTATGAGATATTAGGAACATTTTTTTGTGTATAAAATTTAGTTACGGTTCTCCATAGAGGTCTTCGCGGCTTTATGTTTGAAATAGCGATTACCATACTTGCATGATTTCTCTAATCATTATGTGGAGGTTCTCCTTATAAGTTTCATTAATGAAAGAAAGTATGCTGTGAGTTGATTATGACCGAAGTTCCTTTGTCAACCTAAGGTTGTGCGCTACATTTGTTCTGCTTTTATAAAATTTACTTCGCTAATGTACGTTTCTTTAATCTCGTTGGGTTTCTTAGTTCATCATTTGATGGACATGAGGAGGACTCTGTAGAATATGATGAAGCCACCGCAGATGGACAGACTATCAGGAATGGCGCTGATAGTAAATTGCTTTCTTACCAACTTCCACCTTGGCTTTCTGATTCCACTCCTGACGAGTTTATCGTACGTGCTTGTTACACAACATTTCTTCCCCATTTTTCAGTGTTGCGACATTGCTTTTCCTCCCGTTTCAGGAAGCAGTAAGAAAGAGTGATGATCCACTGCATGTGAAGTATCTACAGACCCTTGTTCAGTGTCTTTGCATGCTCGGCAAAGTTGCAGCTGCTGGTGCTATTATATGGTTGGCTTTTTATTTTTTTCATTTATCTAAATGCTTTTACAATTGCTCTGCCTGCAGCTTGATATAGTTATAGCACATTCACTCCTTTAATATCTTTTAGTTTTAGATCGCCAGCAGTGGTTTCATTTCATTGGTTATAACTTATCACCGATGTCATCACTAGATACCATCATTATCAAACGTATATGTGTAGTTTGTGGGACCAGTTAACGTTTATTATTCTTGAAGTTAAAGATGAATGGATAATCGATGCTGCTCAACTTTGTGGAAATAAGTACATTCTCTTACTGATGTCGTAAAACTTTTTCTAAGTGATGTTTTTGTGTTCTTTTGCAGCCAAAAACTTCGACCCACAATACATGAGATCATAATATCCAAGATTAAAGCCCATATGGAGACTAAAAATTTGTCAAAGTCAGCCTCTAGTCAGGGGGATCGGACGGGAGCTGCAGGATTGCATTTAATCAAAGGACAGTCAGAGGCCTACAGATTATCAAAAGAGAAACAGCAAAATGGGATATCAAATTCTGGGACTCACCTGGCTGTGAGCCCTGTTTCGCCTCTTATGGCTCCTGGAGGCAAAGCACAAGCTGCAGCAAAGGACCTTCTCGACTCAATTTTAGATACTATTGTCAAGATATTTGGTGAGCTATCAACTGTTATATATTTTATTTTCTAAAATGAAAACAGAAAATTTCTCATACTGTTGCTTCTATAGAAAATCATGTTGTTGTTGGAGAGCTTTTGGAGCTGAGGGCTTCGCAACATGACATTAACACACCAAAGTCATTGCCTACTGATATGAATTGGAACACTGATTCTGACGCATCCCAAGCTACCGGAGGCTACACTATCAGTTTTCCTTTGACAGTCTTACAGGTCCTCCTTTTGATTTCAAAAATATCTAAATTGTCGTGAAGCTAAATATTATATATATATATATTGAACTACTGGGTTTTCATACGTAAGCTGATTGAAATTTTACGTGTTACTGGTGAAGAGTGAATGCCAACAACTCATATGTGAAATTCTACGAGCAACTCCAGAAGCTGCGTCAGCAGATGCTGCTGCACAAACTGCTAAACTTGCAAAGAAGGCTCCCAAGAAAGATAAAAGGCAAGTGACGTCTTAGCTTTGGTAGTTTATACATTTACGGAGATGGCATTCTCATATTCGTGTAGATACATAGACAACAAACATGTCCCAAGAATTAGACATTTGAGATTTTCATTAGATAGGCCTCGCTTTCGTGTACAAGCATGATGTATTGGACTCTGAATCACCTGATATGGTCATTTAATAATATAGAGGTTGTTAAAACATAGATTTCGTCTGATGATCTAATAAGAAGGTTTTACGAAACCCAATTCTAGTAAAGTGGAGCATTGACGGTTATAACACATTTTTAAGTGTGAAACTGTGCTGGTTAGTAGTATTGATGAT